TCCCTAGCCTTTTTACGCTAATTCCAGGAGCTTAATGTTTGATTGCATTAAATTCATGATATAAATATTGATATCTTGAATGTGAATCATGTATCATATAGCATAACAATGTTTACAGTATTAGTGTAAATTTTCCTCTAGACTTGTGTCATCATTTATAATCATTATCTTTCCTATAAATGAATGCGATTAAATGGTGTTAAAGCATAAAATCTATGTAAAATATGTACGTATGTATTTACAAAAAAATAGTAAACATGTATTTTTATCAGTTGTCTAGTACCCATAGTACATGCTCTGCTTAGTTTGGGACTAGACGGCGTTGTGTAAATGTTAAAAATAAAATTATTTCAGCTTTCGAGATTGTTCTCAAGAATTTTTTCGGTAGACACCTCACAAGCGTGTATAATAATGTACCATGGTAACTAAATTGCATTTTTTGTATAGTATTTCTATATAAATAAACAAAATCCTCATTCTAGGCACACTTTCCTATTTAAATGTCAAGAGTTGAGGCATTATTGTTACTAAAATCCGGATCGGATTTAAATCGTGAACAAATTGTACCTAGATATATTTTAGATAACATCCTATCAGAGGTTTTAATATAACAGCTATTTTAACCATGCTGAATTAACGTAACAATTGGTATAATTGTTATAGGATTACAAAGTAAGTACCTACAGCCTATTGTAATATTTTATTCAAATCTAAACGTATAACAAAGAAGCTTTAGAAAATTATCTAATCCGTTTAGAAGAAACATTGAAGTATCATAACAAAAAATCAGTTACAAAAAATAACTCGCGATAAATCTTGTGCCTTAGTCAGCTACTAAACTAAAACCGGTACACCAAAACCGCAGAACGTGAGATTAGTCAAAACACGAAACTGATGATATCAAAACATTGTCTGAGAATTGATACAACTTGTCTCAAATAACAACTTTTACTAGGAAAACATTTGCTTTTTGCAACAACCAAAGAAATCGGAATCGTATCATTTAATTTAAAAAGATAAGGATTCAATTAAAAAATGATTAAAAAGAAACAGTCAATATTTACATGTTACAGTGTTAACTTAATTGTAACGAATATGATAATGATATAATAAAATAATAATTTTTAATTATTATAAAATACACTTAAGAAAATAATGCTATGTTCTAACTTAATGATATTGAATAACTAGCCGCTGCCCTTGCCGTTTTACCTGTGTTGATGGTCACTGCAACTCACCTAAAGGTTGTTGTTTGATGTTACAATGTCGGTCAATGAAAACTTTGTCCTTATAATTAATTTCAAATTAAACTCTTGAATTATTCATATCTAACCTGTAGTTCCACAGATTAGGGCATTTAATACAATAAAAGCAGGCCTTACAGTAAAGTTGCATTTAATGTGTAACATCTTAACTTATTCAAAATTTGTAACCCTGAAACATATACTAAGATTTTGGCTGATTCAGTAATGAAGAATTTTTGTGTTTTATTTTGGTTAGAAAGCTCCGAAACATTAACATGATGTAATATAAAAGATTACACAAGACAGACTGTTTTTGTTACAATTTATCTTAGGTAGAAATCTTTTTATATTTTAATACGTTTTCAGAAACATTTTAACTGTTTACACGTACATATAGAAACATAAAGATAAATCCCAGAAATTAACGCTATCAAATAAAAACAGAGTCAAACGTTTTATAAATATCACCATTTCGAGAATGCTTCAAATGAATCAAGTTTAGACAGCTATAACAAATGGTTCTCCATAAGCTATTACGATGAATGACTTCATGTATTTATACAAACGTAAGTCCTCACTACTTCAGTTTATTTATAAAGCGCAAAGAGTTACTCTCCCGCGTTGATTTGATTTCGCGACAGACCTACTCCGATACTGTACAACTCGCATTTATTTCGTCTGCTATCTCGATTTTTTTTCACGCAATAATATTCTGACTACAACACAAGAAATTACACAGGTAATTCTAACGCTTTGTGTTATTCATCAACATTGAGGGCAGTCTACTAAACTTATTTACATTCTAGAGTATTTCGTATGACCTAAAGTGCTATTACGTAGTTATTGCATATTCAGCGGTGGAAGTAAGTGCCATTGGGTGTTGCCTACAAAGCTCTGTTTATTTCACACGGAAGCGATCTAGCTACCGGCTGGGTTAACGCGATAATTAAGCGAGTTACACACATGTTTCGAATGTCACCAGTTATAATGGAACACGTGTTTCAAACGATTCATAGCGTTATCTCTGGACCGACGACTGGCTTGAGAACATACACATACAATAGTGTATCTTGTAAGACAAACCTTATTCATTCGAACTAAAAGAAATAAATATTTTTCATACGGCCTTGTTCACGATCGCGCAGTAACTGTTCTTTTTAGTCGTTTGCTACTAATTACACCTATAATCTGCACTTAGACGATGATAACGTTTATCTGTAGTCAATCGAGCGGGATAAACCTTCATTGAAAAGATTGTATCGATCACGATAAAGACTATGGACAATCTATAAAAGAAAACACACATTATTGTATGTTTGTATGTACTTATAGCACAACTAACCGTACTCTGTCACGCTTCGCTGTCATATTGTGTTTGCATTGATGAGAAATGAGGAACTAAACGGACGCGAGAAATAGATTAAATAATCTTTGCAGCGGTTTGTGCATCGTGTCTAAATTTGAGCTCAATCAGTGCAGAACTTTCGAGTTTTTGAAGCGTACACAAACCGACTTAACATTTCTATAAACACATATGGATATTGGCACTTAAGAGCATATTAGTAGTGCCTTTCTAAAAATACCCTCACGGAAAAAACATTAAAAGCTTTTATAATTCAATAGTTTTCTTGCTACGTCAACAGTGGTGCAGTGTCAATAAATGAATTTTGAAACATAATTCTTTCTCTGAGTGGATAATAGCTAGTGGCAAGCTCTAATAGATCATATCATCTCATCAGCAGCCTTTAATAGTCCACTGCTGGACATAGGCATCTCCTTAGGAAGGAGGTTTTGGCCTACTGTACCACGCTGGCCAGACGGGTTGGTATTGGGTTTGTGTCAAGTTTGCCTTCTCTTTGCAGTGCTGTTGTACTGCAGAGTTTGCTCCCTTAGTCGGCTTTTACGACACCATCGGGATGAATAGGGGTGGTGACACTCCGTATTTTTAATCCGTCACCACACGGACAGATAGACAGAATAATGGATAATCCTTAACAATTTTTTAAAATCTGAAACTATTTATCGTATCCTTACCTTTATACTGTTACTCGCATTGTCCTGAATGATACCTTAGTTAAATATTGATATAAATGTTAAGTGTTTATAAGCAGCTGAGTCTCGCACAAGTCTATCAAGAAAGGTTTTCTTTCCGTTTCTTGACCGCACTGACTAATGATGGACCATGGACCATGGACTAATGATGATACAATCACGATGCGATATTATGTATTATTGTTATAACGATTATGAAGTGCGATGACATACCAGATAGACGTGTTTGACTAGAGTTTATGTGCGTTTGTGCCGATGCTGTAAGGAATTATAGCAATCTATTAAGAAAGGAATGACATTTTGATTTAAAACTAGCCGTATAATATTTGTATACATAGGCTACCCTATCTCCTTCTCTATACCCTTGGCAACGTATGATCATATGAACGGCACGACTAGCACATGAAATCCATTCATTATACGAGAGAATACATTAATTTTTGTATATTAGATAATTTTGCTTAAGCAAATTGACTGCACGGATGGCGTAGTGGTTTAAGTGGTCGCTACACCGCTTCCTACTACGCCGAGTGTTGTGGGTTCCATAAATTGTTGTTCTGAGTCTGGATGTTCTTTGTGTCCGTTACATGTATGTTTGTAAAGTCCTCCGCGACCCAGAATATTTTCCTAATGCGGGAGTTGTCTTTTTGAATAAAAAATAAATAAAAAATAAATTCTTTAATGGCGTTCTTTAAAAGATTGTAACTTCACACTTTTAATTTAAAAGTCTTTAATATTTCTTGAAACATTTAAAGCAAACCTTTAAAGTATTACCCTAGATTGATATTTGTATGTATCGCGGTCGAATTCATCCCAACGAACTTACTAGTAGTTCCTTGGGATGAAATCAAACTTTTTGATTGTGTTTGATGTTTGATAATCAATTGAACGGTATAGATTTAAAAAGTTTTTAAGTGGAAGTAAAGAACTAACCCACACTTAAGTATAAATAGACTATTTAAATTAAACCCACATAAATGTTTCACTAAATACATCAATTAATGTTGAGCGGTGTTTAAATTGTCGAACACAAATTGGGGAATTATTTTCATCGCTTATTCAGCTCGTAATTAAATTATCAAGTTCGTTAAGTGAAATCTAAAATTCATCCAGCGATCGGTAGCCTCGACAGTAATTTGTTAATTTAGTGAAGTTGTTACGATACTTTGAAAATAAATTTCATTATCGTCCTATTTAAACTACGAAGCTTTGCTTTCCTTAAAACAGTGAGTATTTTTAGTAGGGGTCACACTTACAAACGTTTCGTGTAAGTGTGTACATACATAGTGTTGTCTTCTTTCTTCTATCAGTCCATGTGCTAACTGAGCCGATGAACAGGTTTTCTATTAGAGGAAATCCTTTGGGCGGCTTGAATACTCTTATTAGGAAAATGTACTATGTTGTGACAATTTTCTATGAACCTATTAATAGTTTTGGTTTTCTCTGTTAAAAGACGATAATCTCGGTCTGAAATATAAGATAGTGATGATTGGTTTCAAGAAGATTTTGTTCTAGCCTATTCTTATGTTTTTAAATTTAATATGACACAAGTAGTGGAAAATTTTACATACAACACACACAGCTTTAACCGAGTTGATATTGAAGCTCAATAAAAACAACTCGTTCAAATCTATTAGTGAGTAATACATAAAAAATCATTATTAAATGATTCAAACCAGTTATGTAACGTCATTCATTTGTGGAATGGAAAGATCGTCAGAGATGCGTACGCGCTGGGTCGAGGGTTATAAGCGGTCAGTCGACGATCCTTCCCTCTTTGTTCTCTAGGGTTACCAGTTATATATATTTTATGGTTCATTGTAGTAAGTTTTAATTAAATCAAAGCTTCAATTCTGTTCAGTTGTTTATGAAACGATGCTAGACATATGTATATTTCTTTATATCGTATAAATTAGTGTATCCGAAAATTTTAAGCTTACAATAAATGCCGAGTGATTATACATACAAACAACCGCTCAGTGCTTATACCACGATCAAATAATACTTTTGTCTGGAAAAAAATTCATTAGGTTTACCGACTAGAATAACACAAAAAGCAAATTTATCCATCCACATTACCATTCCCTATCCGGGAATATCTGACAGGATGTCGTACCGGCACGATACGAGGGCGGAATATTAGCACAGCGATCGTCATTACCCGACCAATTTATATTGTACACTTGTGACCTCTAGACGTAGCCGAGAATAGAGGACAACGCTGCCTTGTTGTTTAAACCTGAATTTATACACTTCTATTTTGAGAAGGGTATTTATGTAAGTTACGAAAATAGAGAGGTCCATTTTTATTTGTTTCTGTTTACTGTTTCTATTGAGTGCAATGAGATTAAAATTGCCATAACACCGTGATATAGGTACAAATCTTAACAGAAATAATAATTTAATGGGGCCATGTCATGCTCTACAGTAACTGCCGAATTAAGAATATGCGGGTTGTCGTAATTAACACCAAGTTAGAAGTGGAGAACAATATTAACGTATCTCTAACACCAGTAAGGTTCAAAAGATATTCTTTTAGTCATTACATTTCTAATACGGTAAATGTAAAAAAGCTAAATTAAAGAGTCGTAAAAATGTATAAACTTAAAAGTAGGTCTATTTAATCAGGATATTTTTACTAAAGCAGGTTTTAAAAATTACCTAACTTTTTTATTGTCCTTGGACCAAGACTTCTCCGATCAAAATCCAATACCCGATATAATAATTTTTATTTTTTGGGACAACATTTTGTGTGGTTCATAAATTGTTGTTGTAAGTCTGGTTGTTCTTTGTGTCCGTTTAATGTATATGTGTGTTGTAGAAGATATATTCCTACCGCGGGAGTTGTCTTTTAAAGAGAGAAAGAGAATATAACAGTACCAATAGAAGTTTAACTTCGACAAATCACGCTTCGACACTAGAAAGTGCAATTCCCTGTAGTGCAATTACTGATAATATTCACCTAGAAATTGCCTCTTGTCCTATCGAGTAACTATTTTGTCTAAGGGTTGGAGTTGTCTTCTGTGAGCCCATTACTATATTTTTGTGAATAAATTACGAATCAAATACACCTATGCTAGATGAATTTGAAGAAAACTATTTTATTTACAATGTCGGTATGCGTAGTTTAACCCAAGTAGAAATACAATCGCCATACGTTAGTGTGTACCGTACCTTGTCTATGAACGACGATACGACGAATGCCACGTGGCGTGCGAGTATCGTACCGAAGTAATGTGCAACTACAGGTGCGACACGGCCGACACTTGTCAACCCACTGAATACTTAATTGACACGACAAGTCGAGCCCGCCCCACGCGTGTGACTTTTCTAGGACTTCCCAAGTGTCAAAACTCGGTCGCTCTATGGTGCTATGGTAAACATACTGCTGATAAACATGCTTAAATTTTTTTCAATACATAAAATACATCTCATCACATCAACAGCCTTTGCTAGTCCACTGTTGGACATAGGCCTCTCCTTAGAAAGGAGGTTACGGTCAACTATACCACGCTGGCCAAACGGGTTGGTATAGGGTATACAAATACATACATATCATAGGCGGACACACACACACACTAACCACTAGACCAAAGGGCCAATCAAATGATGATATATGACATTAATTGGAAAGTTCACTTTCTTCCCTAATTTGAAAAAAAAAAGAAATCATACATAAATTGAAATAATCAATTACGGTGTACGGTACAAATCAGCTTCGTTATTTCCATATTGTATATTGAAATATTTATTTGTCACAATCAACAAAGATTTTAATGTGACTCTTTTGCTTCTGTCCACAGTGCCGTCGGTAAAACATGTCTGCTCATCAGTTACACGACCAACGCCTTTCCGGGAGAATACATACCTACAGTGTAAGTACTGTTGTTTTTTTTTATTTACTTAACTATAAATAAATGTTACACAAAGATACCACCTAATATTGTACATGAGCAGGAAAATAAATTTAATGCTAAATCGCAGAATTGATTTTTGGAATTTTTTTACCTATTAAATAGTCTGACAGTATATGGCTTTATGTGAAACAATTTGACCACCATCACAAAGCAGTTGTTAACTGCGTCACTAGGACATTTTGCACAAAGTCCAGTGCAAGGTAAATAATAATATTATAGGTAATAGAAAAGTCATACCGTTTACTTATTTTCAGGGGAAAAAATGGTCAGCATTAATTTTTTACTTAGATTTTTTTTTACACATCTCACACGGCCGTCTGATCCTAAACTAGGGAGAGCCTGTGCTATGAAAACCAGACTGCTGATAAACATCCTTATAAATTACCAATTACAGACATAATATAGATAATTTGCACCCAGACACAGAACAAATGATCGTGCTCATCACACAATCATTTGTCGTGGGTGGGAATCGAACCGACCACCTCCGGCCCAGCAGTCAGGGTCACTAACCACTAGACCAACATTATTAAAATAATTTAGCATGGGGACCATGCTAAATTATTAAGATAATTATCATTTTATTAATTCAATTGTGTATCAGGTGTACTACATGCTAATCAACTCGATCACATCACATCATTCAAATACCCGGTCTTTGTAACACCTGTTGTTTGTTTGAATGGGACTGTAAGAACCTCAATTCAAAAAAAAAAAACAATTAGTAGAACATAAACCACTGCGAGAGAATTCCTTAATAACGCATAATGAAAGGAGGTACTAAATTCGACTATATTAAAATAACCGAGGCCAATATGCTATAAATGAGATCCGAATCTACAGGAATGATTCCAAGAAGGGGTCAGTTCAGTCACTAAAGTTAGAGTATACAAGACCTAAATATGTGTGTTGTGTAACAATAAGCAATAGCTTATACTGCAACTGATAACTAAGAGGTGTCAAGAAATACGAAAACCATATATTATCAGATAGCACAGTCACCCTAAAAACACTGGAGGACAATATAATGAACGCCCGTCTTCGGTTATGTAATGTCATCAAATGATGGATCGTTTTGCCTCGACACATTGGAGTATTTCTCCAATGGAACAAAGGGCAGGTGCTTTTGGAAAAAATTGGACTGTACCTAATTCCCACCCTTCTCTAAATGCACAATGAACCTTTAGTGAGTCCAGTACCAATAACAATGTAAATACCAATATACAAAAGTTGTAAAATATAAAAGTTTGTATTGTCTTATTTGTTTTTGATCACCGAAGTCTAGAGTCTTGTACTTTAACATTTTACAGATGTGCCCACTCAATGTAACGTTCAATAAAACAAATTGTTGGTACAGAAAATATATAAAAAATTTCGCGATAATTGATACAGTACAGTTGATCGACAATTCTGGTTTCTCCACCACTACACATACAACGACACTTATTATAAAACAAAAAGGATTTTTTTTCTTTTTTATTAACAATGTCCTGCTAACTAATATTGTATTACTACAAAAAACGATGAAGAAGTTAACCATGCGTTAATAAAAGACTGCATTGGTATCTCGGACACCATTAAATTTAAGTCTATTTTAATAGCAAATTTAACCATCAATAAATATTTCTAGATTTGACAACTACTCGGCAAATGTAATGGTGGATGGCAAGCCTATCAACTTGGGACTATGGGATACGGCGGGACAAGAAGATTACGACCGACTTCGACCGCTCTCCTACCCACAGACCGACGTGTTCCTTATATGCTTCTCGCTTGTCAACCCTGCTTCCTTCGAGAACGTGCGAGCTAAGGTAGGTTACATGCACTGTTACAAGTATTTTGTAGTCTTATCTACAGTCACGGATTGCCCATAATTGAAGGGTTACCAGGTGCCTTTCAGAAGGCCAATTCTCGTAATAAAAGTTCGGTCACAAGTCAGTTCCGATCAAGTCTCGATCTCACAACTGTCAATAAATGAATTTTCAAAATACATTATTGCTGGAGGATAATGCCTCATAACGAGGTCCAATTCAATGCTATACATATTTAACAAAGTTTTTTTTTAACTGTTGTTGTAAGTGGTCTAAATATGAAAAACTGTCTGTTACCAACGTCACTATTACGATTGAGTAACGTTTTTATTATTTATATAAATATATTTTCTAATTCCAGTGGTTCCCTGAAGTTCGACATCACTGCCCGTCGACACCCATCATCCTTGTGGGCACGAAACTCGATCTGCGCGAAGACAAGGATACCATTGAGAAGCTTAAGGACAAGAAACTTGCTCCCATCACATACACACAGGTTGTATTTAGTTATGTTCACTCCAATAAATACCTGCTTTAGAAGATACTGTAAAATGTTAAATGTAATAATTTTTATAGTGCATCAAATTAATATTATAAAGGCGAAAGTTTGTCACTGTGTGTTTGCATGTTTGTTACTACTTCATGCTCGGCTGGACCATTTTTTATAAAATTTGGTGTGGAGATGACAGCCTGGACACATAAGCTACTTTTATCCCGAAAATGTAGTGTTCCAGTAGGATAGATTTTAGTGTATCTGATAAACCGCGGGGGCCTATTAGTCTTCGATATATCTATGAAAATGTTAGAGCTCTACACCACGGGCGTGAATGCTGTTTTACATAGTTTTATGGGAATAATTACGAGAATACTAAAGATAAAGTAAATAAGGAATTAAGGAATATCGTTTTAAATAGGTCTATTGATTTTAAAGTCTTTGTGCCTTGTTATGGCACCAGTTTGGCCACTGTGTGATTTTGGTTCGTTATTTTGTTATGATTCAGAAATCAATGAAATCATAGTTGTAAATCCTAATTACCTTTGTTTAATTCAAATTTCCTAATTAGTAAAATTTCCTCTTCCAACTGTTATTACGTATTTGAAAAGTTAGTCATCGTTTGTGTGCATCTTTCAAAGAAAGATTTAAAAAGCAAATAGAGTTATAACCCCTTAGGGTTCTAAAACTTCAACCTCGTAAATAAGACAATAAAAAAACTTGGCTGTTCGCCAAGGTTTTTATGGTCATGCTTGCTGCATATTTTGATAGTTGAAGGTCATTTAAAACCTTAAGGATATTTCCTGTTTGACCTGCACTCGTAAAATTACGTAAGATTCGCAATGTCTTTAAGAGGAAAAATCCTAAAGTCAACAATTTATAGTAATGTCACATCATTTTATTTTCCTATTACAAAATTACACTTGCAACATGTAACGATGTAGAGTAAAACATTGTTTTGGAACCCTGATGGTTGAGTTAAATATATCTTTAATGTGTTAGTATTGCGAGGAAGAAGCGATAAACTCATATCCATGTCAATTTATTTATATATACAGGGTGTAAGGGACGTTGTAACGAATAATGAAATAAAGTATTCAAACCATCATTCTGAGTCCTTACATCTATACAAATAAATAAAATTGAAGTGTCTGTTTGTAATGTCAAAATAATTGTTTTTTCATGCTCACACGATTATTTGCACTATACCTATACCTAAAAACCAGTTTATTTATTTTTTTGTCTGTTTGTTTTAGGTAATCTTCTAAACGGCTGGTCCGATTTCGATAATATTTTACTACCAGATAGTCGTGTATATAAGGAGTAACGTAGGCTAAAAAATTTGGCCCGTTCTGAGAATTTAATCCACTAAGGCAGCGTTTTTCAAGTTTCACTCGAACGAACTCGCGAGTACCAGTTAGTTCTTTATAAAGAGTTCAAAAGTTCTGCACCGATTGAGCTTTAATTTTGACACGACTCGCTTCAAAGATTATTTTGTGCCAAAGGTAATGGCAAGATACAGCTTGTTCTGTTATAAATTATAATGAAAACAAGATATGTATACCTTCTGTACCCATTATATAAATAATATAGACTCCATTTGTAAACGCGCTTAAATACTAAACAAATAATATTTATCATCCTCAAAACTTAAAATAGAAAGGAAAACCGTTGTGTGGTTAGATTGCATGAATGTATTATGTATTGTCCACTTGCGTATTATTAATAACAACAACATAATGTATAACAACAATATATAATGAGCTAGGTTCGCTTAGCTAGGTTCTTATATCAGTTTTTTTTCCTTCTCTTTACACATCTCACACACGGCAGTCTGATCCTAAACTAGGTAGAGCCTGTACAAGGGTAACTAGACTGCTGAGAAACATACTTATATATTTTTAAATACATACAAATTATAGATAAATTACACCCAGACACAAAACAAATGACAGTGCTCATCAGGCAATATTTGTTCTGGGTGGGAATCGAACCAACGACCCCCCCCCCCCCTCGACCCCCTCTAACTATTTGTGGGGGGGGAGGAATAGCGGCAGCACACTTTTCATACAGTCACTTGCCATTGAGTGACCTGTTCATTTGCGCCTCCCTTAGCCATAAAAAATATATTTTCTTCTTAACGAATGCCTACGGTAATATTGTAGTAAAAGCGCAGAAAATACATAATCGTCAGCCTTTGGTAGTCCACTGCCTGACATAGACCTCTCCTTGGAAACGAGGTTTTGACCTACCACGCTGACCAGGCGGGTTGGTATAGGGTTTGTGTCAAGTTGCAGTGCTGTTGTCCTGCGTAGTTTGTTCCCTTAGTCGGGGCCTTCGACACCCACAGGATGAATTGAGGTGGTGACACTCCGTATTCTTAATCCGGACACGGACGCAGAAAACACACGTGCTACTTTCTCTGTACCGCATATTTCATTAACACTAGGAAGTACATTTTGTACGAAATAGTGATGATCCGAATACTGTTTAATTTTGTTACCACTGGCTGAGCCAGACCCTAAATTTTAAGACGTAATAAAAAAACTGATCGAATGGGTTTAAATTAGACTTGCAACGAATATTCGGTTACTATTCGGTATTCGGCCTATTCGGCTGCTTTTATTATATTCGGCCGAATACCGAATATCTACATATTATTCGGCCGAATACCGAATACTTAAATAATATATTTTGTCATTGAGAAATAATTGGTAAAATGAAAAATTAAAATCGATTGATTACGTATATATTCATATTTTCATTTCTGTGATAATCATTTAAGTAGTCATTGGTGCATAACACAGGTACATAATCATCTTCTGAATTGGAAAAATGGAGGATTTTATGTATTTGAATTATTGTGGTAATCAAAATTTAGAAGGGTAAGGTTCTTATTTCTTTTATAATCATTTATTAATTAGTCATTGGTACATAAAACAGGTACATAATTTAATTCACGTCTGTACAAGTTTTTGGCGCTAAAATCCAGCCGAATACTTTTGCCTAATATTCGGCTATTCGGTCAGGGGCCTCGCCGAATATTCGGTATTCGGTATACCGCCGAATATACTATTCGTTGCAAGTCTAGTTTAAATAGTAGTACGGCTATTTTATAATAAGCAGCAATGGTATTATGTTTGTTCCGTAACACTATACATACATCTATTGATGTTAATGATAATTGCCAATGAAATTACTTCATTTTGTTAAATAGTTACCTCAACACGGATTGTACAAATCTCCAAAAAAAATACTATATTTCTAGAATCTAGGTCCGTTCTCCCGTACTGCCTTGCGATAAATCCTCATGTTTACAGCGTTTACCAAAACATGAGGATCGAATTCCTGCGTCCACTCCACAAATTTGAAAAATTTTAAGTGATTTTTTTTTTGCTTATACCTTTTCTTTAAAGATTAATCATGATGTAGATGTTAGTAGATTTTTCATATTTTTCTTATATTTTTCGTATTGTATACATGTAATGAAAATAATTATTCTGTTTATTTCTAATAACATATAGTACCTATCCTGATTTTATGTTTATTACTTTACTAGCGACCCGCCCCGGCTTCACAAGAGTGCAATGTATTATACATACGTATGTATAATTGCATTGTAAGTGTAATGTAACGTTTTAATACACGGGTAAAAACCTTCTTCACGAATCACTCTCTCTATTGATGAAAACCGCAATAAAATCCGTTGCATAGTTTGAAAGATCTAAGCGTACAAGAACGGGATGCGACTTCATATTATACTATGTTAAGATTGTTGTGAACTCGTTTATAATTTTTCCCTCTTCACAAACATGAGAATCCTGATTTAACTTGAATTATTTTAAAATAATTTTAAATATCTACATAAATTATTACTTCGCAACGGAGATAAACTTTCTACTCGTAGTTTGGGATTTTACTACGATAATACTTTAAATACAAATCATTTAATCTTTTTTTTTTTGTTACTAACATTCACTGGTTTTTTAACTTTGATTTTTAAGGGTCTGTACCACTCTTATTAATGGCTCTTTAAAAATTTGATTATCATGACATGATTTAGATCTATTTATCTTATTTGTTGGATGTTGAAGCGTAATTTTAATTGTATTTCGGTTTTAGTGAGAAAATAAACCATATTTATAGACTGACAACGACTTTTTTACAAAGCCGGTTTTCATATTTATATAACGATTTCTTGTAAACCCCCTTTTAAAGGTTTCTCTGTTAAAAAGATGTTACCAAAAACTTTATAAAATACATGTGAGATTTGCATTTAGAAATATGCAAGTGAAGAAAATATCTAATTAATAAACTATCAATGTGTTCCAGGGCCTTGGTATGTCGAAAGAGATAAGCGCAGTGAAGTACCTGGAGTGCTCTGCGCTGACGCAGAAGGGTCTTAAGACGGTGTTCGACGAGGCCATCCGCGCCGTGCTGTGTCCCGTGCAGCCCATCAAGCCGCGGCGGAAGTGTACTCTGCTCTAATTACGCCGCAACTAAGGTAAACAATCATTACTATTTTACACCTGCACAGATCGCGTAGTGGTTTAAGCGGTCACCTCACCGCTTCCTACTGCGCGGGGTGTAGTAGGTTTGATCCTCACATGGAACTAAACCTTGTCCGATCGATAAATTGTTGTTCTGAGTCTGGTAGTTCTTTGTGTCCGTTCCATGTATGTCTGTAAAGTCAACCGCAACACAGGAAATAATCCTAGTGCAGGAGTTGTGTTTAAAATAAATAAGACATAACCTTTTTTAAGTGACCACTTGATGCTATTTGTATACTGTAATGTCAATCTAGTATCTTTGTAGTGAACATCACAATGGTAGGTTTGGTACTATTTTGTCTGAAATACCTAACTTTTAAATAACTTTTTACCTTTGGATATTAACAAATCATTGTTCTGTATTCAAAAATAAATCGAAAAATGTTAATTTTAGTGCATAAAATAATGCACAAAATTTCAAAATGTAAAATTTAAATGCATTTATCGATTGAATATTTTGTGTTTTAAGTGGTTTCTTAGCACTATAGAATCTAATTAAAAAAATATGTAATACCTTATTAGCTGCTTCATTGGATCTAATCATAATAATAATAATATTTATGGCATTTATCGATTGAATATTTTGTGTTTTAAGTGGTTTCTCAGCACTATAGAATCTAATTAAAAAAATATGTAATACCTTATTAGCTGCTTCATTGGATCTAATCATAATAATAATTATTAATATTAATTAATCTATTTGTTTCAGATAGCTTAGTACGTCGATGCTAGTGTAAACAGCATAGCTTACAATAGAGCGCACCAACATCTGTCTTAATGTGCAAACACGAGCGCTGTAATGAATGGACTGCAATAAATGCATACATAGATGTTAAATTTTACTGTTAAAATACGCAATATTCTTAATATGTAACATGGGTTGGTGTGAGTGAGCTCCGTAATATGTATCGCTTTTTTATATCGACCGGATATTATGCGCCACGTCACTGACAGTTGAGGCTGTAAAAGTGGTGACATTTGTCTCAAATATAGTTTATAATCTATGGATTACAGAAATTGTTTATTCAAAAATGTGGCTGGATTGTGTCTAAAGTTAGCCAATGGTAAGATTATTTTTTTAAACCATCAACTATTTACCATAATTATGTATTAGTTGTATATATAAATATACATTATAGTCAATGACCGCACGAAAACTATCCGAGTTTAACTCATATTTGGGTGCTTATCATAACAAAATACATGCTATAATAAAAGTAGTATTACATTCCTACATTTAATGATAATTTCGTTTGCCAATCGTTTGACTATCATCACCGATGCTACAAAATGGTGTTTTAAAAAATGGAATTGTTAAAATTTGTGTTAGCTAGAGATGATTATATTTTTTGATTTATTATTGCTTTTTTGTTTCCACATTGTTGTTATACATCAATGTTACAAGCCAGTGCTAACTCGTATGCATTATTGTTGCTATTTCAATTGTTTAAGGGTCTAATTTGCATACGATTTATAAACTGCTGCAACTAGTGGCGTAATAAGTACAGAATTTGTTCGTAAGGAAATGATTAATCATTAACGTTTTTTTCATTCATTTTATATTTAATTAATTAAAAAGTTTATATATACCCATATTATGTAAACTATGTTTCGTTAAAAATATATTCCTGCGTAAATTTACTTCGATGTGATTCGTAGATTTAACGTGAACGAAAACCCACTGAACTGTACAAAAATGTAATAAGATCCGTGAGCACATGTTCCAGCATTTATTTTCAGTCGCAAACCGTAGTACATTAAGAACTATTTATAGCTGAGTCGAGTCCGATAATAAGTAAAATGTCGTTTGCCTCAAATGTAGACTATGGGCATATAAAAGTTATGTAATATTGTACTAAACTGACTGCTTAACTTTTTATAAGCGCTCGCGTGAATGGTCAAAATACTTAGATACATATCGTTGGTAAAGTGTAGCTATGCTATTGTGTCGTCTTAATACTGTTGATGGTCATAATTTTGCGATTTTATCGTGTCTTACGACGAATGGTTTAGATAATCTACCTTCACAACCTTGATAAACGCTTTAAAATAATAAAATTAATGTCTCGCAGTATTCAATATGCAACAACATTGCATCGTAAATGTTCTTTGATGGCTAATGTGAAATACCGCACAATTACCTTTAGCATTTCCGACCGAATTGGGATGGCATGTTCAATGTTCTATAATGTCTTCGTCCGACCGATTGTCACTATTCGGCCGCATTACTGTCACGGGAGGCATTTTTCGCTGAAAATGTGATAACGGGTTTAGGCTAACTGACTGTATAGACATTTTTACTCGGCCTCTTTAATGAGATGCTACTTTTTTAATATACTTTATATGCCTAATGAATTTCACCATTATCTTAGACATTACAGATCGCTTATTTAGAAAATAAAATGGCACTAAGTTAATTACTGTCTAAATCCACTCCTACAATATAAATGTTAAAATAAGATGAAACAGTACACGTAAGTTTGTGTTAAGTGTGCAATTGTTGTTGCTTGTAGACGAACGTGACGTGTTGATTTGATGCTATTGTCTGTTCGTTTAAAAAATATATTTAGAAATCCATTTCGAAATTTGAAAAAGCTCGAACAATTGCACAGAACATCTCTAGCGGTAAGATTTTAATGTATGTATTGTTCAGATGCAAATATTTAGAAGAATCAGCATGTAAATAACGATAATTTAGTATTTAATACAAAAAGATTAAATACACACCTACTTTGGTGTACCATTTTTGTACTAGATCCATTTTCCACAAAGTGCATATAAACTTGAATGTATTCTAAATTAATTATTTTCATTGTGTAATATTATGTATTCTCCAATGTTTAAGGTTAAATGGATTGTATGGTATTTTTTTTAAATATGTCTTTTCAATGATATGTTAAACTGCAAAGTAAACAAGCAAGGCAGTCATAAGATGGAATCGGTTGAATTAAATTAAAATTTTATTTTATGAAAAATACATTGCTTTTATATTATGAAGTAATTTTTTTTGTTAAGAAAAATGAAAAAACATTTTTAAAATACATATAAAAAAGTCAGGTGAATATAAGTCTCATTATCTGGCATATAAATAGCACATTATTATACCAAAAATGGAATTTGATAATTTAACTTGTTAGTCCAAATTTCCTCATATACATGCAGTTCTTGCAATTCATGGATGCACCAAGCCTTTAAAAAGCTATGGATGGAATGGCACACCTGGTACTTGAGTCATCATGATCATCTTCCTACCGTTTCCTAATTTCGGTGCCATGAGTTTTGTTTTTTCCATTCTACTAGATCACTCGATATCACCTTTCACGCATTCTATATTCATTTCGTTGCCAAATGGTTTTTGCTTTTTCTTTCTATAAGCAGCAGCCAGTTTCTCGCCAGCTACTTGACTATATATAAAAATCAATGTCAGTTTGTTTTTATTTTGTGCGCTGCCGTCATTCGATCATTATAAAGATTTGCATGAATATTGAAACAAGATGGCGGGATAGATTTCATCCATAAAAAAGAATCGACTCAAAAGATTGAACAAACACGAGCCACACCGTAGCCAAAAATGATCATTAGGAAGAGAAAATAATACTTTGTAGAGAGAGTAAGTAACAAGGAGAAGGCCGCACATAACGTGTATGTGCATTTATGAGTTGTAGAAAAACTGGATTTATAGTGTACAATGATATACACCAAATAAAGCAGATGTGTTACTAGCGGAAGCGCAACTAAAATTTTTCACAATCGCTGACTCCGTATCTGCGATGTAGAATGTAATAACTGAACACAATTTCTATAGTCCATTAGCGTTAGGAAGCTCCACCCCCCGACCAATCAGGTTCCAAGAAATTATCGTTTCGTAAAAAAGCTTGAAACTTGATTGGTCAGGATCCGGGGTTTGATCGATGCGTCACTATTTTCTTAACGCAAATGGACTAAAGTATAATATCATTGATGTGTATGTTAGTGTCATCACTTTGATGCTATGTTGTCTGTTACTGTAATGTTGGATCTGTACTCTCACTACACTATGTACTGCATTTTGCTTTCATTCAAAATAACAGCTTGTATAATATTATTTTTATATATAAAATTGTCTATGGGTATTCGCTGTCTATAATTCGATTGATAGTTAGATAACGCTACGTCGAGTAATTCTTCCAAATATTGTAAAGCCTCTGAATAATTCAAAATATATTTATATTAACTGTTCAGTATATTTGTTTTATTTATATATTCTACACTTTTTGCCCGAGACTCCGCCTGCTTGTATGACGATTATCGCGGTAAAAAATAGCCTATTCCCTTCCTCGACAATCAAAGTATCTCCATGACAAATTTATTAAAATCGGTTCACCGGTCTAGCCGTGAAAGCGTAACAGACAGACAGAGTTACTTTTGCATTTGTAATGTTACTTGGGCTTTTGATTCGATATCGCGATCCCTTTTAATAATAATGGCACTTTTTAAGCGTTAATGAAAGGTATAACGAATGTGAAAGAGGCGCGAGCTTTATGTGAGCATCGTGGCAAATAGCGTTTTATCGTCTCAGCCTGCTTCGAACCGGAATAAGGAGTGAGTATATGTAGTGACGGATTAGGAATACGGAATGTCACTACCCCAATTCATCCCGTGGGTGTCGTAAGAGGCGACTAAGGGAGCAAAACAACCCAGGACACCAGCACTGCAAAAAGAAGGAAAACTTGACATAAACCCTATACCAACCCGTCTGGCCAGCGTGGTATAGTAGGCCATAACCGCCCTTCTAAGGAGAGGCCTATGTCCAGCAGTGGGCTATTAAATGCTGTTGATGTGAAATGTATAAATATATTTATAATACTGTTGGTGGTTGCCTCCTCTCTATTTGATTAAATGAGTTATAATACGCCATATTGTTTTTTTTAAATATAGTCATTTATTGTCAAACACTATCGTACTGAAGGGGTGTGTTATCGTCACGAAATGCGTGACACCTTTGACCTTTCTTTATATAATCGCAATAAGCTATAGATAATTTAAAAAAAAGATAAGCGGCCTTAACAATATAAACTAAAAATATATATAAACGATAACTAAACAATAATAAGGAATATAGACAAATCCACAAAAAGTCTGTATAAATTCGCGCCTTTTTCTTTTTGAGGCACATAGAGAAAACAGCCCGACCTTGTCCTTTTTGCTGCCTTTAACTGTCATTAAAGCATTAAAGAATACACCTCTAAGTGTAATTATAAGTATGCTGGTTTCGAGTCTTTCGAAATATGTATATATATACAGAAATAGGCTGGCAACTTATTTTGAGCACAGTGCCTCTATACGTAAAATAAACTAACTACATTGAGTGTTTGCGACACAGTGATGTCACATGTGTGGTGGCAAACCTATTCCCTTCCTCCATCCTGTTAGGTTTGATCGAGTGCCTCCAATTTGAAAAAGTGATTTGCCCCACCTTTATTTATAGTAATAGTGACTTGAAGTATTTCACACACTGCTGTTTGATCTCAAATCAGATAGAGCCCGTACTGTTGTATATTACTAAATACTTACATATTATAGATAAATTACAACCAGATGAACAAATGATAGTGCTCATCACACAATCATTATCCTAGATGGGAATCAAACCTAAGAAGTTTCGAACTCGCAGGAATCTCGTTAGTAGGTTGTGTAAGTAACGTACCTATATAATGATTTCCTTATGTATATGAAAGTGATAATTGTAAAGTCAACCTCTTTGGTTAAGACTTTTTAGCGTCCACAAGAAAAGTAGAAGAAAAAAAATTTTGAACTTTTTTAAATAAAATAATATTTAGAACAATGCTCATCGGATTGCATACATTTTATCATGAAATAATATAATTATCAAGCTACTAGTGACAATAAATGAAGATAACCTAAATGATATCTTTGAACGCAATCTTACATAATACTTATTTGATTTACTACTTGAGTTTTTAGAGTTCCGTAGTCCTAAGAAACCATTATAGATCGCTATGTGCCTATGTCTGTCCGTCCTGCTGCCGTATGCTTAGATAATTTAGTAATGGTTAGCTTAGAGACATGAAAAGTTGGGATTGTGCACAATATATGGGTACATTTATGATTCACGGCGACAATGTGGATCTGGTCTACGTTGGGGCAAAATGTCTAGTAAAATTATGGATGCCGGTTGGTCGCACTGGAGTTCTCAATTTTCTCTTAAGGAGCAAAAATTAAAAAAAAAAAAGAATGGCTAACTAACTTTAGCTACTATGAATCTATCTTATCTAATTTATTTTATTCGATTATTTTCTTAATTCCTATGAGGGGAATAGTAGTTTAAGCGGTCGCCACGCCGCTTCCTACTACGCCGAGTGTTGTGGGTTCAAACCCCACATGGGACGACACTTTGTGTGATCCACAAATTGTTGTTCTGAGTCTGGGTGTTCTTTGTGTCCGTTTCATGTATGTTTGTAAACTCCCCCGCGACACAGGATTTATTCCTAATGCGGGAGTTGTCTTTTTTAAAAAGAAAGAAAAAAAAGAAATTAATCCTCCAGTAATCCATTTTTGGCGGGATTACCTTTTAGCCTACATTCTTACAACGCGACATTAGGAAATGACTACCATGAAGTTGGAGATATTTAAAACCAGCATTTTAAAATTGTAAAATTTTAAAATGGTAAATATAGTAGACAACCACGAGTTCAAGGCGATAGTGGAAACGGATCCAACTCAATCTAGCTCGCAATTCAACAACCATGACTGGTCAATCGATCTTCCCCATTGCTTCTCCACAACAAGGCGCGAGCTCAAACTTCACGACAAACCGTTAGCCAACCAAAGCTACAAGAGTTACAACAGGAAGCTCTCCGTTACCCACCGTAATTACCGGACCTAGCCTCAACAGACTTCTAATGTTTTCAAAATTTAAACAATTTTTTAAATGAAAAAAAATCAACACCCGAGAGGCAGTAATAAACCCTTTCGCTGACTTCATCGCCTCCCATCCAGCACACTCCTTGTCTTCAGACAAATATACAAATTCATAGGTAAAGACCTAAATTTATAAAGGCTTCCAGTAATTGAAAAGTGGCGTGTAGGTTTATTGGTGTAATTCCACCCCTAAGGGTAAAAATTAAATAATGAAGAATACAGTGACTTACGATAATAAGGAACTTCTTTCCAATATTATTAAGTGAAAATTATGCGCATTGAAGCCGGTTATATTTTTTCAAAAGTAATAATGTCTATCCAATACTTATTGGCATAGTATGGTTCTTAGTAGTAATATACAGTTAGAGAATTGACAACCGATGCAAAAGGGATTTGGTTCTCGAATTGCGACCATGAAATGAAAAGCTAACCGTAGGGTGTGAAGGTTTGCTCAAATTAACATTCACAGACAGAACAATTTACTTCGCTCTGACTATTAAATAGCTGTTGAACTATGGTTCGAATAGGGAATATAGTGAAAACTCACAAAGCATCTTTGTTACAATTTGAATATTTCAATGCAATTCACGTCATCAAAACAAATATAACTGTATAATTTTTCAAAATAGGTCAAACGATGTATCCTTAATGGTCATGAGAATACGGGTCGAAAAAATACGTACCTACCTAAGAATAGTAAGCCACGTACTCCTACATAAACATTAGAGAAATTATCAAAAAAACAATTACATATACATCATGTAGAGTGAGGTAAACATTGACCCTTAGAAAATATTAAAAACACAAGCTTACAAATTATCTATTGCGTATTTATTGTATGTAATATATTACGATATAAGTTGAACCTGGATTGCTCGTATAAAATGAACTTTACTGTTAATACTTACAAAGTTATTTTTTGTAACAATTGTCTCGCAATGTAGTATCAAAATTAATGTTAGATATTACCGTCGCGCTTGCATTTTGTAATCAGTCGCTGGAGTAGCGCTGCCAGTGTGCAGTCCTCTGCGTCAGTGTTGTGAATTCTAATTTGAAAAAAAACGAAATTTAAATCAATTTAATAATACAAGTACCTACTGGGATTAAAAAATGGCGGTTCCACTGTTGAGTAAAGAGCTGCCTGATATAGAGGTTTGTTACTTTAATAATGTTTTGTTTGCAGTTCAATTATGTCTCATTGATATGAAACGATCGCACAATGATACAGGTACTTATTGTTCTGATACTGGTTTACCTAATAGCCAAATATATAAAATACAGTGCAGTACAGTCAGCAACGTATGTCGCTAAACACGCCAATTTATAAATTACACAAAATATAAAGATGAAGAATCAGAAACACATCTTAATGGAACACCACAAAATGAAACTAAAATCTTAAGAAACGAAACCATTGAATCAATAGCTTAAATGGCTAGACCAATTCAAATAATGACTTTTAAGAATGATAAATGCTTGTGGGTTGCGATTCAGTACCTACTCTTAAATTTGTAATTCAAAACTGAATCGTGACTGCAGACTGCTTTATGGCTTGCCAATTTTACTTTACATCAACAGTCTTAGAAAGGAGAGCAGTATGTCCTTACTAAGACCATAGGCCAGTTTACTTACAATACTTTTATTTGTAGAGAATATCCTCAGTGACATATTTTTCTCCATGTACAATAAGCTTCATTATTATGTGTACCAATGTAAAATAAAAATATTAATGTAACCTTGCATTGGTTATAGCCTTACTTTATAATTCAAGGTTAAAAAAAATATTGTAATTAACGTCCACTGCAAATTGTAGGCGTAAGATTTTAAACCTATTATTTTTTTTCTCGCCAGCAGCTGTACCTATTGTGTTGAGTATAAATTAACTTCTGACATTGTTAGCCTTAATTTGAGACTTACTCAAATATATATATATCTCATTATGAAGTAGGTATACTTATGGTAAATAGGTAAATAAAGTAATCGAAACGATTAAGGACTATTTGTTAGCTAGATAGTCTTGCCATTTATGTCTTACGATAACGTCATTAAACTGCAATGTTCGTTGCGCTGCCTTGTGCTTGTCTGTTCTTTTACATAAGTAGAACTTTTAATGAGGAAGAACAGCATTGCGCAGTAATCTAAATTTTTATCACCATTAGACATAAAATTTTATATTATACTAGCTATACCCAGTTTGGCACATTGTCGTTGCTTTGATGAGAAATTAGGAACTAAACCGTTTTTAAAAACAGATGAAAACAATCTTTGAAGCTGGTTGAATATCGTGTCAAACTTTGAGCAAAATCGGTACAGAACTGTTTGAGTTTTTAAAGCGTACACAAACGAAGTATATTTATACACATTTATACATATATACGAGTACACTAGCTGGTACCTGCGATGGAATTAAAAGCGCTGCCTTAGTGGTGTAGTACGGTACGTGACTGCAGTCCATGAAGTCTTGGGCTCGATTCTCGAACCGGTCAAAATTTTATAGGGGACTGAGAGGAAAAATAGCTTAAGTTACTCCTTATATGGACAGCTACCTGGTAGTGAAATATTATCAAAATCGATCCAGCGGTTTTGAAGATTACCCGAACAAGCAGACAGACAGACAGACAGGCCGACAGACAGACAAAAAATATTTAAAATGGTTTTTAGGCAGAGGTATCGTGCAAATAACAGTGTGAGCATAAAAAAACTATTATTTTGACATTACAAACAGACACTGCAATTTTATTTATTTGTATAGATATAGAGATGCCTAGGGCCTTGGAAGTGTACTCGTTTTTAGAAGGAAAACAAAAGGCCCTAGTAGACGAAACTACACTGATCTTGCATTGTCTTGAAGAGAAGGTCGCGTACCAGTAGGCCAATGATAGTGGAAAGAGGCCACATGCTCTTTAATAAACTCTGTTTTTGTTTTCAATGTTCTCAATTGAGAGGAATCCTATACAAGACAGTGATGTAAAATTTGAAACACAGCTCATAAGATATTAGTACAATTGCGACATAATACTGATCTTTGATATTCAACTTATGTACAATACGAAGTCAGGGGTTATCGTCGCACATGTTGTGGCAGTACTTTAGCGTATTTCCATTTGTAATTTGTATTTATATATGTTAAAACTTCAAGTCATATGATTATGACTTGAAATTTTCGATGTCATGTTCATGTCGGTTTCTATGAGTGTCCCTCTCTATAATTGGCAGTTTTGTAGTGTTTTTCTTTTTTTTGACTTTGTAATTATATGGTTTTCGCGCTGGTTCATTGGTAAATCGCATAAAGTAGACTAGGACGTCGACTAGGACTAGGTGCCAAAAATGGAATTTCAGCAGAATATTAAATAATAGGAGCGGTTGACTTTAGGTTGTTACAATACCAACATAAATAAAAGATTTTATTATTTAGTGACTGGTTGAAAGTAACTGCAATAGCGACACGAAGTGATATTCGCAAGAAATGTACAATATAACTTATATAATTTATGTAAAGTGAAAAAATAATGAGCTCTAAAATTATTACGACGCAGTAGAGCAAACGTATCTAAGTACTAAAATATATAATAAGTTTTGCCAAGGTCGCTTTGGTTTCTTCATGTTCTGTGACCATTTGCAATTAGCTTTTTTCTTGTATAGAAACTACTTTAACATTAAGAAATTGAACGTCCGTACAATTTTTTAATGTTAGCAACAGTTAAGTCTTCCGTTTAAATCTAAGTGATGTGTTTACATATCGTCAACTATAACTAGCCAATCCTGAGGCCTCCAGAGGCCTGATATAATGGAACTAGTATTAATTCACTCCTTTTTAACCTTCCATCTATTTGATCACACACGGTAGCTTTTTAGGGGTTTCAGAATAATTATAATAAATTTATATATTAGAAATTGGTACACATTATTACAGATCTTTTTTAACATTAACTAGCTTAATATATGGGTGCCTGTGTGTGACAGGTATAATAAGTTACGGAAGAATAAGTGGCAGTAACTATTCTTTGTTGATTCTTTTGTATGTTTTGTCGTGGGAGAAACGTGTGTACAAATAGACCAGCTTGACACAGTGATATCACAGAAAACAGTGTCAACCAATTCTTTCGTTGCATTTTATAATGACTTTCAACCGTTCAGTTGATCTTTATACATAACTAGATTTTGCCCGCGGTTCCGCCCGCGTAAATATCGGTTATCACGGCAAAAAGTAGCCTATGGCTTTCCTCAAGAATCAAAGTATTCTTATTCTTCACCGCTTTAAAATACGTTTTTTGGGATAAAAACTACCCTATGTCCTTACCCGGGACTCGGACGATCTCTGTACCAAAATTTTATCTAAATCGGTTGAGTAATTTAAGCGTGAAGAGGTAACAGACAGACAGACAGATACACTTTCGCATTTATAATATTAAGCTGGATGGAAAATCAATATCCATGATTTTCCATAAAAAAAATTCTAAGCAGTTGTTTATTTATTTTGTTTAACATTTAATTTGTATGTACCTACTACATTAATATTTTTTATTTCACCATGTTGCAGAATTTGTTGCGGTTGAACCCTACTGTGAAGCCGTATTCCAACTTAGTTCCATCAGCGCAAACTAAGAAGATTAAACAACATTGGAAGAGAAACGCTGATAGAAAATGTACTGTAAGTATTCGCTCTTAAAGAATGTAATAGGCTATCCTTGTAGTTTCATCCACTTTACTAGCTACTGGCTTACTTACTTCTCCTAAGAGTCGTATCGTGATGCCAAACAGCTTATAACCCTGCTCTGAAAATTCCCTAGCATGGACAGGTACTTTCAGAGAGTAGTTAATGCATGTGCAACCAAAAGAAAAGTTTTTGATTTATCAGTAAAGTATAGATTGTCTAAGATTGACCTAAATTTACCTAATTTCTATGTCCAGGCAAGCGAAAGCGAAAAATTTTATCATTTTATGGAATAAGTAAAGCAATGTTTACGCGACTTATTAATTACTGAATATTTTTGTATAGTAACCTGATCTATCAGGTTATCAAAAACATCTGTAACTTGAAACTTAAGAAAGAGTGAATTGTTATTTCTAACCGGTTTCTTTATGTTGCAACTTAAGTACACTATTCAAACTTGCATTCATTTCAGTTTGCATCATACACATGTCATGTAAATTAGTCAGTCCTAATATAACTTAAGTATCAAGCAATCAATGCTACGTGCTTTGTTTATTCTTGCGAACCGGTCTTTGTTCTATGGAACATTAAAAACGTGACATAAGCATATTGTTTATTAAATATTATGCTTGACCGAATTCTAAGAAATTAAGGAGATTCTAAATTCAGTTAATTTTTTTTTAAATGTTTGTTATCATAGAATTTCGTTATTTATATATAGTTATGTTATTAATGTAATTCAACCTAAATTCAACTCTCGTGTGAACGGAGCCAATATAACTTACAGAGGTGTCGGTAATGGTAACAGTCAATGTTTTTTCCCATTTTAGAAATACATTCTTTTGTTTATTGTTTAAAGATGCCCAACGAAGAAGTTATTGAAGAATACGCCTAAAAACGTTTTCACTTCAAAATACACGTACAATTTATACGCAGGAGAGCCATGTATAACATGACGTAGGAGACCCATAATGGGCCAGATCGACCTTAGTAATACCTCAGCCTAACAGAAAACTTGTGTTAAGCAGTTCTTTAGTTTTTCACAGAGTGAGCTGTATGTGTTTGTATGTATTAAATGCCAAAACTAAGACAACTTAATAAAAAACGTATTGAAGTTTAGGTAAGAAACAGTGGCAGTTTTCATGCTCACTTTATCAATCTATACTTAATCTCGATGATAATTTAAATGAACTGTACCTATTTATAAGCAACTTTATTTATTTCAAACAAAAAAATTAAGCAAAATATATTTTACGCTTGAAGATCACACGTACGTACGTACCTATATGTGACGGGCGGATGAACATCTAATAAATTATAGAAGGTGAATGTAAGGAGAATAATCTCAGTTTAAGAAATAGTGTCGGTCAAGTGTATTATATGTAACTTGAGGGTTAGAAGGAAGCAAACAATAATTAACTTTAAAAAAGTATCAGCTACTTCAATGCGACGATACCACGATAAACTGTAATACTTACTTTATTCCTTAATTTTCGTACAACAAAGAGCAAGACTTACCTTTCTAGTATAACAACTAGAATGCGAACAAAGCCTTGACAGCTAAGAATTATGTCAATTTGTAACATAATAATATGTAAGGCTTTAACTGTCGCTGAGCCTTAGTCGAGGAAAACAGGTTAGAGCACTTCCTCTGTTAGTTACGTTTGGTTTTTGAACGTTTGCTATATGTAGAAGTATGACTACACAAAAATTCTTAGATAACCGTTTATTTATCTTACATACATTTATTAATAGTTTATCTTTCTTTCATTTTGCGAGGAGAGATAAAACATTGGCCGTTATGAGCTATTATTATTCTCTTATTTAGTTATAATAATAACTCTGTAGTCAACCTTAATTTTTGACGGCTTGATGGCGCAGTGGGATATGTAACGAACTGCTACGCCAAAAGTTGCGGGTTCAATTCCCGCTAAAGTCAAACATTCGTGTTCATGAAAATTTAATGTTTGGTTTGATATGGGTATTTCTAGGCAAAATATGTATGTAAATATTTACAAGAATTAGTATCTATTTATATCAGTTTTCGGTTTGTACTCATAGTACAAGCTGCTTAGTTTGGGACTAGATGGCGTTATGTAAATGAGGTAGAATTTTATTATCATTTTATATCTATGAATGAAGAACTTTATACAATTTTGTCGTGTTACACTCAGAGTAATTTACAGTAGAATCATTAGGTGTTTTACGCGTCATAAGTCAAATAACCTTGGACCTTGCATTATAGATAGATAGAGTAGGGACGTCAAACTGTCAAAAGATCAAGTAACCGTGGACGTCTTTTATTTTCAGTTCTAAAAAAATAATCTTAAAAACCTTTATTTCAGATTAAGTAAATAATGAGATTTTTTAAAGTAAAATGACGAACTGAATGTTAGTCATCATCTATATCAATATTTTCATAGATCAATATTCTTGTAAAAGTTTTAAGTTCAGATATAGAAAATAGCAGATTCCACCTTACGTTCTATTTGCAAACAATAAAGACACAATAATCGCGACAAAAATAAAAAAAGTTATATTTTCATTGAGCTCATGGCAACTGATGATAATTACTTCCATTACTACATTAATTATCTTCCAGACAGTGACGTATCTCTAACATATTAAAATTCTCTGAAATATTCATAACACATTTATATTCATATTATGTTAAGCAGACTGCCTATTTTAGTCGTGAAGTTCAGTGTAAAAACTGCAAAGTTGACGAGATGCTTGCGAGTTTGAGAGCTATAGATATCAACCACGTGTGGCCTAAATTTGACTAGACGTTCGCATATCTAAAGCAGGCTGTTTCGTTTCATCAGATAAAGAGCACATTATTGCTGAACTGATAACAGACAAAACTGGGGCCTTTGAGACTACGATTTTTTTTTAATGAAATTAACATAATTGCCTGTATTAGCACGTTATCCTTTGTAACTCTTTACCCATTACCTTTATAGTCTTAAACACGGCGAAGAACAGGCTCCTTCATCAGTCTCAACTAAGTACAACTTCTTTTAATTAACGTATTGTCCTATTGATTTCAGTCGTGCCCAACACTTACGAAGAACTTCGACGACATTAAACACACCACTTTATCTGAGCGTGGCGCATTAAAGGAGGCAGCCCGATGCCTGAAGTGCGCTGATGCTCCATGTCAAAAGTCCTGTCCGACGCAGATTGATGTCAAGAGCTTCATAACCAGCATTGCTAACAAGGTTCGTCAATTACGGTTAATGGGCACACAACTTACTGGAGTAAAAATATTGGCTTTATGTAGGACGTGTAGTTTTTTCATTCTAACTTAATAACATTTAAGGACAAGATCTACGTGATGGTAGGCGGTCGTAGGGCCTGTTAATGCTTACAATACTTATGACTTGCATGTTGCAAAAATTATCAATGAAGTTCTGCTTCTGAACAGTGTTTTAATCTAATACCTAAGTTAAATGTAGTTCTGTAAATAATGGACCTACAGTAGAGCCTTGTTGGACGCCTTTACAGAATAAATGAAAGAAGTTATAGTAAATTCTTTCACTAAGGTGGTCGGCCATATGGGATCAATGGATGCCAAAATTACTTAATAACAAGTACCATAGAGCCTTAATTTGTGCCTATATCGTGTATGTATGTACCCAATCGAAAGCTTAAAAAGATTACGAAATATGTATTTACTAGGTACCGAAACCTTTGAAAAGTCCGTGGCACTGCAAATACCTGCCTCTGTATTTAGAGCGACCACTGGAGATACCATATTATCAACTGCCCAGATTTTGTACAAATATATGAACTTATATCTAGTTTATATTTATCTTTGTTATCTTTACAGAACTATTATGGAGCAGCTAAGGCGATTTTGTCAGACAATCCTCTCGGTCTTACGTGTGGTATGGTGTGCCCCACCAGCGACCTCTGTGTCGGAGGATGCAATCTTCACGCTAGTGAGGAAGGGGCTATCAACATCGGCGGATTGCAACATTTTGCTGTTGATGTAATTAATCTAGTCTAGTATATCTATGCGTAGTATAGTAGGCCAAAGCCTCCTTTCTAAGGAGAGGCTTATGTCCAGCAGTGGACTATTAAAGGCTGTTGATGATGATGATGATATCTATAACATTGTAAAGTTGGTTTGTGTACGCTTCAAAAACTCATAAAGTTCTGCATCAATTGAGCTGAGATCTGATCTGAGAAATTTCGACATGAGATAAAACCCACTTCCAAGATTGTTTTTATCTATTTTTTCGGCCTTTCTAAGGAGAGGCCTATATCCAGCAGTGGATTACTAAACGCTGTTCATGATGATGATGATGACGGGGATGGTTGAAACTCATAATTATTATGATCTTGGAAATAAGTGACGCATTTCATGACTATACGTTTGTATGTGTCTATATTGATTATTATTTCAGGTATTTATGAAGATGGGTATCCCCCAAACTCTAGATCCAAACAATAAGCCTTTACCAAAAGGTGGCCATCAGAAGATCGCGTTAGTGGGAGGCGGACCGGCTAGCATTAGTTGCGCTTGCTTCCTCGCTAGGCTTGGATATAAAAACATTACTGTTTATGAAAAGGAAAATTATTTAGGTGGATTAAGGTAGGCTTTACTGATTTATAATTATGTTGCGGATGACTTTTGTTCGAAAATTTACTTATACATTAGTGTTCTATAAGTAAATAGGTACAAATATCACTGGAGAGCAATTCGAATAACGGTATGAATGTTTGGTAGCGACGACAAAATAACGAATGCCGACTGCATTCGTTATTAATAATATAAGAATTATATAAATAATGTCTATAAATTCATACAATACATCAAATCTATCGAATGATGATTCATTTAATTATTATTTTAATATAATAATGATCTATTGATATAATTTCAGTTCATCAGAGATCCCTCAATACCGACTACCATATGATGTGGTCAAATTCGAAGTAGACCTAGTTAAACATCTTGGTGTTAAATTCGAAACTGGCAGAAAACTGTCCACCAAAGATATAACTGTTAATGTAAGTATACATAAGTATATTGGAGGTTAAATCCCAAATCCGATGTTTATTATAATCTGCCATTAGGTAAGATTAAAATGAATTTGGTATATGGAGGTCAGTTTGACTGTATGGAACAAGTAGAGCAGAGACTGTAGAATAAATGTATTGGTGTCTTGAGATGAGAACAACGCTCCTTGCAGTACTTGTTGAATACATTAGAAGCCGAAAATCGATCGAAGTAGCGTGCAATGGGAGAGATCCATGTCCAGCAGTGGACTACGATAGGCTGATGATGATGATGTATATATTTAGATATATTTAAAGTATGTTTATCCTCATTCTAGACCCTAAAACAGGCTCTGCCTAGTTTAGGATCAGACTGTCATGTGTGAGATGTGTGAAAAAATATGAAACATATAAATAGAAGAAGTTATAAACGAAAGGAAAATTAGAAAAAAAACACTTAGTTATTCGGGATTCTTACTAACATTCTGGCAATTCTGTATAAACCTTTTACGCTTTTGGCCAATCTTAATCTATAAGTGAAATCTAGAAAATATATAAAATATAGGTACAACAATCAGGAAATTCTTCTTCTATGGAATTATACTATTATGTATTGCAGGGTCTTCTTAATGATGGATTCTCAGCGGTATTTTTGGGTATTGGTCTACCTGAACCTAAAAATATTCCTATCTTCAAAGGTCTTACTCAAGAGATGGGCTTCTTCACTAGCAAGGACTTTTTACCCTTAGTATCTAAAGGAAGCAAGAAAGGTAACCTATAAGATTTTTCGTCTCGACGAGTTGTGTGTAGATGTTCGACTTGTTCATTCTTAATAAATACTAAAATATTACCTTTAATATCCAGGTCTGTGTGCCTGCAAATCCATCCTCCCTGAACTGTACGGCAACGTCATAGTGTTAGGAGCAGGAGACACAGCCTTTGATTGCGCTACATCTGCGTTGAGATGCGGGGCGAAGCGAGTGTACGTTGTGTTCAGGAAGGGAGTTACCAATATTAGAGCCGTACCCGAGGAGGTAAGAACAAAAGAGTTTTTGTGGTCTGAAGTAAAAATTCACTTCGTGTAAACAGTTATTCAATACCTATCTTATGACATAGGACTGCATATAGGTTCCTGGATCAGATTATGAAAATGGCAATAAATTACATTATAAACGAAAACCTCTGCATAATTATTTTTTTTTGTATTAAGGGCATTAAATTCTTACAAAAAATGAATTAGTACATATTTAATATACTTTTTTGCAAGAAATTACCCATCGGTTAGGTACTCTAATAGTACTCAATACTTTATTGCAACCACAATGTAAATATATAGGTGATAACAATTCAAGCAGTAATAATTGGTACAATGGTAACAATAACACAAAAAGAATAACAATCAGTATCAGAAGACGAAAGCCGAATTAACAGTAATTCGGCTTTCGTCTTTCCCACAGGGAAATGAAAAGGATTGAAACTAATCATTGATTCATTAAACACGTAGAATGTAATTGTATATTCGTGGAGATGATTAATATTTTATTTCTAATTTTTAGGTGGACTTGGCTAAAGAAGAGAAATGCGAGTTTGTTCCCTTCATGTCTCCTAGAGAAGTTATTGTAAAAAATGGCAAGGTAAAGTAATTCACAATATTTTACTGTTATTTACCATCTTTATATGCCTTAGCCATTGTTGTATGTAATTTATTTGTTGTTATCTGTTCGGTTCTAGATAACCGCCTTGAAAATGTGTCGCACAGAACAACTAGATGACGGAGAATGGATAGAGGATGAAGAGCAAGTAATGCAGTTAAAGGCTAATTTTATCATCTCGGCTTTCGGCTCCGGGCTTTATGATAGTGACGGTAAATACCTTTATTATTTGTTTGGTATTTCTTGCTTTTATCGAATTTATTGGTTAATAAAGATCTCCAATGCCGAAAACAGACTAAGAAATATTTGATTGTTCTTCAATGGTGGATTGATTATTCTCGTTTTAAAATGACGACGAGTATGTCTATAAAATAGCATTTTAGTATAGAAGGTGTTTTACGCAATACGTGTCAAGTGGTTGACTCACTAAAACTGTCTTTTGCTTTCAAAGACAGTTTTTAATTTTAGATAAGCTTATTAAATCAAGAATAGAAATTTGGAATATGTTAATGTAATCCTTCCTTTCATAGTTTCATAATAGCAAAGGAAAAACACAGAGGCTTACTGCAATTTTTTATTACTTTGAATTTCGTCTATATTTAGATTTCATATTTTCGAATAAACTCTACCCAAAATTCCAAACCTCTAACCTAACTCATACAAATCTCTTTTAACCGCTAATCACCTACCACACATATGTTTTAAACTTGTAAGTAACTACCTATAGATACCTGAATACATACTATACCTGAGAACTTTTACATTAAAGTTGTTAGGGGTCTAAGGACATAAGTTAACTTTCATACAAAAATGATAGGTACTATCTCAATTGACAGAAAAAATAATTTTACATAATTGAAACCGTGAGCGAAAGCAAAACTAGCATAAATTATTGACGATTTCAGTCCAAGATGCAATGGACGGTGTAAAGCTAAACCGCTGGGGGCTGCCCGAAGTTAACGAGAGCACGATGCAGTCCCGCAGCAACCCTCGCGTGTTCATCGGCGGGGATCTGGCGGGGGTCGCTGAGACCACCGTCGAGTCCGTCAACGACGGCAAGACTGCGGCCTGGTATATGCATTGTTATTTACAAGTGAGTTGATAAAACGACTTAGTCTCTTTTGCCCCGGTCATCATTTATATGTTTGAATTACTCTCTAAGGAATGTACTATGTGCGTATTTTGGAGTAATAAGCTTGGCTACTTGGTAAACTTATAAATGTTATAGAAATACTGTTCTTTTTACGTACCTTGTTGTGTTGCTCCTGTAAACTAATCATAATTTAAATGTTTATAGGTTAGTCAATTTTTTTAGCGATCTTAAGACAGTTTTATCGTTAAAATGTTTATCTCTTTTTGTTATAATAGTTAATTAGGGTGAAGTAACTTATGTCTTAACCTATAGATACCAACCCGCTTAGCCAGGGTGGTGGTACAGTAGGCCAAAACCTCTTTGCTAAGGAGTGGCTTATGCCCAGCAATGGACTGTAAAAGGCTGTTGGTACATAGGCTCTACCTGGTTTGTTATCGGACAGCCGTGTGTGAGATGTGCCAAACTAATAATCTTTTATGTTGTTCAAGGGGATTTCATTCAATGCTCCAGTTGAACTGCCGAAGTTTCACTGTCCGATTGACGACATCGACTTATCAGTGGAAGTATGCGGCATCAAGTTCGAGAACCCCTTCGGCCTGGCAAGCGCCCCCCCTACAACCAGCACAGCAATGATCAGGCGAGCTTTCCAACAAGGATGGGGCTTCGCTGTCACCAAGACATTTGGACTTGATAAGGTTATTACATCCAAAAAAATCTTAATTTTAGAATGTATAGCTAGTTCAAACAGGGTCTTTAGTACTTAAGTTTGTTTTTTAAAAATGGCCTGTAAGTATAGGTTTCTAATGAGTCGGCAATGCGTAACCGCTCACCCAAGGACCCACACACGCATCAGGCAGCCGTATCATTTTTTCGTATTTTCCAAGAGTTTATATAAAAAAAAAACTCATTTTTGCGTGTTAGAAGAATATTTAAGAAAAGGATATAACACATTCCCATGTCGCCTACATTTTTTAATTTTTAAAATCAGTTGTAACTTTTTATGTTGAGTTCCGTTTCCCCGTGAGTTAAGATTATTGAGCAGCATACAGCAGCGAGAATGTTGATAATTAAAAATGTGTTATTTAATCTTGTTTAAATAACGAATTAAATTTACATGTAAAAGATCACCTTTAACCAAACATAACTAACCTATTAAAAGTGTGGTGTGACTCGAATGGACAAGGTTAGGCATGAGTATATACGAGGGAGTCTGAAAGTAGCGCCACTGGATGAAAAGTTAAGAAGTAATGGGTTATCTTGGTATGGACATGTCATGCGGAGGAATGAGAAGCATGTGTCCAAGAAAGTGTTAGGTATGGTAGTTGAAGGGTACAAGAGAAGTGGAAGGCCAAAGAAAAGGTGGATGGACTGTGTGAATGAGGATATGGCTAGAAAGGGAGTAAACAGTAAGATGACGAATGATAGAGTAGAATGGAAGAATTATACTTACTGCACCGACCCCAAATAAAATTGGCATAAGGGTAGGCAGATGATGATACGGGGGGGGGGGGGGTCGTCTACTCGTCTGTAGATGACCCGAGGTATGTCGGGGCACCAGGGACTTCCTTTCTAGGGTATACCTGGTTCCCCGGCTATTAGTACCCGAGACGGCGTGCGGTTTTAGTCGGTTCGAGTCCGACATGCCACCGACAGGTGGTATCCGAGGATATTTCCGCACGAAAAAAAAAAAACAAAAGGCAGATGATGAAAACAAAAAAATACCTACCACTGGAACATTAGACTAAGTCCTTCGTTGTGCAGTGGTAGCGTATGCGACTGTTGTGTTGAGGTCTTGGGTCGGACGATATATGAGTATTCTATCAGTTAATATAGGTTTCATAGTACAAGTTTTGCTTAGTTTGAAACTAAATGGCGTTGTGTGTCAGGTGTCCGAAACATTATTATTATTTACTCACTAGCTGAGACCCGCGGTTTTACCCGCGTTTGTTGTTATAACCGCGGGCAACGCCGTGGGGCGAAGCTAGTCTAAAAAAAGTAGCCTAAGTTACTCCTTATGTCATCAGCTATCTGCCAGTGAAAATCCCGTCGAAATCGGTCCAGCCGTTCCAGAGATTACCCGGAACAAACAGACAGACAGACAGACAGACAAAAATTGTAAAAAATGTTATTTTGGCATATGTACCGTGTAAACATACATATGCATTTAGTAAAAAGTGGTTATTTTAATATTGCAAACAGACATTTCACTTTAATTTATTTGTATAGAATAGATATCAAGAATTAATAAAAAGAGATGCTCACATGCCTACTCTCAAGAGTAGTATTTTCTTATTCTTAAATATCTTGTCCAAAGTATAAGTACTTAGACGTTGTAGATATTTACATTTATACGATTTCAGGACTTGGTAACAAACGTGTCGCCTCGTATCGTGCGAGGAGTGACCTCGGGAGAAAACTACGGGCCGGGCCAGGGCTCTTTCCTCAACATCGAATTGATCTCGGAGAAGTGTGCCAGGTACTGGTGCCAGAGCATCGCTGAACTAAAAAGAGACTTCCCTAATAAAGTGAGTTCCAATCCACTCGTTTCTTTTTGATGAATTTCTCGACACCTGTTTGTAACTTTTTTAAATACCGAATTACATTTTTAATTTTTTACCACATTATTATTCTTGAGAACGAAATCGAACTACACCGATCTACTACTAATAGAAAGAAGATATTTATACCTATCCCTAACTAGCTAAATTAAATGTGTAACGGTAGATCCACTCATGAACTTATCCTAATACAAAGGTTCATAACCGCTCGCGCTTGAACGTCTGACTGACACATCTGTCGTCGCCTATCACGTCCGCGGGCTCTGGATTGATCCCTTCGAACGCCCTATTCCATCACCGATTTATTACTTACACTATTAACGATATAGCAATGTAAAAAATACTTATGGGTTTACTAATACCGTTAAGATAATACATTTTCTTTTTATTTTCTTTTCTAATCATAGATACATATACTGCACGGATGGCGTAGTGGACTGCACGGATGGTGTAGTGGTTTAAGCGGTCGCCACGCCGCTTCCTATTACGCCGAGTGTTGTGGGTTCAAACCCTACATGGGACAACAGTTTGTGTGATCCACAAGTTGTTGTTCTGAGTCTGGGTGTACTTTGTGTCCGTTTCATGAATGTTTGTAAAGTCCCCCGCGACACAGGATTTATTCCTAGTGCGGGAGTTGTCTTTTTAAAACAAAAAAATAAATAAATATAAGCAGTTATAATAGTGTGTAAATATAAACATTGAAAGAAATTATTTGTTGACAAATGTATGTATGTAGGTATTTAAATGTTTTACTGTATTAAGAAAATAGGGCATGCCTATGCACAATAGATGATCAAGTTTTGTAATAAAGAAACAACATACAACAAAAGATTCCAGGCTAATATTTTTTGCGAGCGTTATAACTAACGTTCAGCACTCATTTCTATGAGAAACATGTGTCCAATAATATTAAAAATACAAGTATTTGATTATATCACTAATTAAGTAGTTACAGACGCATTCCACTATAATATATATTTTTTTAATGATTATAGGTGGTAATAGCATCGATAATGTGCTCGTACAACGAGGAGGACTGGACGAAGCTGGCGCGCGCGGCCGAGGCGGCCGGCTCCGACGCGCTCGAACTCAACCTGTCGTGTCCTCACGGCATGGGAGAGTCCGGCATGGGACTCGCTTGTGGACAGGTTACTACAACCCTGTCGTTTACTGCACCATTACATTTAGATCAGACATATTTCTCATCTCCATATTTAAGTCAATGATTGTATAAAGCCAAACAAAACGAAATGTAGATAGTTCAGTGTAGCGCGGTGCAGAAGATTTTTTTACCTGTTTGTAATGTACTGCTATTGGTATGTTCAGTAAGAAAAAAACTTGTATTTGCTGTATTTCTCGAATTAGAATTGAAACGGCCTTCTTGACTTTAATTCTCAAAATATTCATCTTTCACTGCTAATGACTTACCTACTTTGAACCTCATGGAAGTGCTGTCCTGCCTGTTTCCAATTTAGATAGTGCAGGCTCTCTGTTTACACAATTTTTGAAATATTGGTAATTCGCAAATAGGGTATATATCATGTAAAACTATTGAGAGTGGTTTATTTTTGTTTAATAATAACATTATGGGTTAAACACATTTTGACAATTGCAATAATAGGAATAAATTCCTTTTCCAGGATCCGGTGTTAGTAAAGGGTATATCTCAATGGGTAAGAAAAGCTATCAAGATACCATTCTTTGTGAAGCTGACCCCTAATATCACTGACATTGTTAGTATAGCCATGGCTGCTCATGAAGGTAATTAATATATTTTAAATTTTATTTTATTGTTCTGAAAAGAAAAGGAAGGAAAAGGTTTTGAAAAGTACCATTCAATACACTAGGAAGTGTATCTACCCACATAAAGAAATAATTCATGACCATACGTGTGTAAAACTCACAGGTTTATAAAACACACAAACATTTTAATTTTGGTTTCAGCGTGAAACCAAGACAACTGTTTATGATTAACGAGACTGTTTGTCTATTACGCTTGTTTATCTACTAAGTCTTTGATAAAAAAAAAAATATATAGAAAGCGTATTTTTTAGTTTTTTTAAACTATTTTTTTTTAATTAGTGTATTGTCATCGGTCCTCGATATATCTACAAAGTTTGAACGAATTATAACCGTTTAAAGTCAGTCAAAATCACGCCCAAAGGAGTCGGTTACAAACAAACATACAAGTGAAGCTAATATAAAGCGTGTAAAAAGAGACGTCGCAGACGTAGACGACACGATGGTATATAATAGCTCGGAACTTATTAAAAGTGCGGCAGACCGAAAATAATCAATAAATCTCGGTGGCAGATCAGCTAAAACTGCTGACAGTTTTAGTGTTGTACTTAACATTATAAACGTTTAGCCCATCGACTGTGCACTGACTTACGAGAGCCTTATGTTTGGAAGGCTCTCGTAACGATTTGCTCGAAAAATGTTGCTTTGCAGGTGGCGCTAGCGGAGTGTCTGCCATTAACACTGTATCTGGATTAATGTCTGTCAGACCTGACGCCACACCCTGGCCAGCTGTTGGTAAGTATTCTTACTGACCTTCCCTATTTTATAACAAATAGGCATTCCGAATGACGAGCTTAGTATGCATAACTCCAAAAAAATTTATATATCAGACTGATATATACATTTTTTAGGACTTAATCAAGGTTTAAATTTCCAGGCGTCGCCAGAAGCACCACATATGGAGGCGTCTCCGGTAACGCAACGCGTCCGATGGGCCTCCGAGCAGTGTCTGCTATCGCTAACAAGTTGCCAGGTTTCCCCATACTTGGCATCGGTGGGATCGATTCTGCAGAATCAGCATTGCAGTTCATCATGTGCGGAGCGCCTGTTGTTCAGGTACCTAATCTATAAACAGAAGTACCTAAACGATTTCAAACTACCCACACTTGCACAATATTTTGTGTGTAAATAACATTACGTATCATAACATTTGAATTATCTGTTATGCATGAGCTAATGTATTTCACGTACACGTACGTATCTAAGTTTACAACTCTCTAACTGTGTCTTCTGTTAAAGAAGAATTCTCTATATAGTTGGGTTGAGGTTTTGGCCCCAATTAGGTAGCACGATATCGATCAGTAACCATCTACCAAAAATACGAAATAAATGTGCTTATAGCTATATGTAAAAATAACAAGTGTTTTTTTTATAAATACGTTGTCTGTAAATCCATTTTCGTACAACCAGATCTGTAGCGCAGTACAAAACCAAGACTTCACAGTGGTAGAAGATTACATAACAGGTCTCAAAGCTCTCTTATACCTTCGGTCGGTGGGCCAGTTTGGCTGGTTGGGACAATCCCCACCTACATTCAAACATCAGAAGGGAAAACCTGTGCAGACGCTCTACGACGAGAATGGCAAGGTAACTTGAACTTTACTGACATATAGTTTTTATAGTTTCATTTTTTGTCATCTTACCATTATTATCGTGATAAAAAACTCATTTTGTACATTGCATTCTAGCAAGCAGTAAATCATACTTTATTAACTTTTAGGTTCTAGCGCACTTCGGTGAATACAGCAAAAAGCGGGAAGAGCTTCTACATGAGATCAGGCTAAAATCTGACGTTTTAGCAGACAATGCAAATGAAACTTATCTGACCAACGGCAACAACCACGTCTTAGACGTGCCAAAAATCAAAGACGTTTTAGGAGAAGCCTTGCCAAGAGTGGGGACTTTCAAACATTTGGATAATACGAAGCAAGTGGTTGCGCTCATTGATGATGTAAGCATATCTGTGATTAATTTAATGATAAATATGTAAAGTTAGTTACAAATTTTTTATGCATTGGACATATAAAGCTTAAATAGACTCCAAACTTTTTCAACCCTGAATCGCGCTTTTCAAGTTGGCATACAACTGCTAAATCGCAACCGACTAAATATGACCATTTGTGAACAAACTACTAAAATTTTTTTGTGTATTTCAGGATATGTGTATAAACTGTGGCAAATGTTACATGGCCTGCGCGGATTCAGGATATCAAGCTATTGAGTAAGTATTGAAAAGTGTGAAAGTGAATCGTTTCAACTCTAGGATTTAAACAATTTTATTAAGACAACCTTGCAGTAATATTATTCATTGCTTCTACCGTTCCTTACGTGCATTGAACATACTTAACACTAAATCTTATGAAAAACATGGCATTTTATATGTTTAAGATAGTAAGCCATTTCAATTTTGGGAAAGTAATTTTGGCGTATTTTGGTGCATTGACGGAATAATTTTGACTTTAGATAGTTATATATAAGCAGTTGTGTGCTTATTGCCGTAATTCATAACATGTTTTACATTATAGATTCGACGCAGAGACTCACATCCCCCACGTGACAGATGACTGTACTGGCTGCACGCTGTGTCTATCTGTTTGTCCGATCATCGATTGCATATCGTAAGTATATTTTACTAAATTGAGGTACTAATAACAATAGTCCTGCAGACAGAGCGTGGGTAGGCCCCCACGAAGTGGTCCGAAAACCGAAAAATGTTAAGAAAAGGGCCGGTTCTTGTGGCGAACATTGGGTATGCCTATGTCCAGTAGTGGACGTCTTTCGGCTGAGAAGAAGGTATTAATATGTTTAACATATTTTTAGCAGAGTTTAAACCTTCCTACAACTCTTTAAATGCAAAATTTTCGGGCAACAACAGCGAGCCTTCAAAATCACATGTCGCCGTTTGCTTAATACAGACAATTAGTACCGAGTTGTTATACGGTTGCGATCCCAACATGATAAAGTTGTTTTTGATCATAGATAGGTGTTCGGAATCCCATTTTACACAGGCACTCTGGTGGAGCCCGAACCGAAGTCGATAATGGTCTACACTAACAGCGCCTTTATTTCAGTACCTATATTATTTAGTCATTGTTAATGTGCCAGGGAAAGGGTAATATTTAGGGTAGGCTCAGATTACAAAACAAAAAGTAATCTGAGTGTAGGTATAAGAATCGAAATCCAGTTTACGAGATTGATTGACCACTTTTTGTGGAAGAAAAGTGACGTCATAACTCCATGATCTCCTATTTTTTTCTCTATACCTTCGGTAAAAATCTGCACTATTCATGAAACAGGTTTTTATCAGTCTCATGTTACATCTATATTTTTAAAATAAACGTTACTGTAAATAATGTCCCTGTGCCTACCTAGTTTTTTTTGTAAAATATTTTTAATTATTAATATTGTAATTGTATATTCTCCTTTTACGTTACAGAATGGTACCAAAACAGATCCCTCACATCATCAAGAGAGGCATACGCTACGACATACTGCCTGTATCACCTTTAGATGGAATCTGTCAATAAAATACTTGCATTATATTAAACTGTACAAAAATATATTAACTGTTAAAATAAACATTACAAAAATACCTTAATCTCTATTCATTATATCTTTGTATATTGTTTCTGCATTAGATTCTGCCGTTTCCCAAGAGTACACCCAACTATTGTGAGGGTTCACTCCTAAGGTTAGTGCTGATATTGGCTTTGGGCAGTCATAGTGACTCTTGTTGACAACATTTACTCCAGTTTCCCCTCTCATTTTATCATACAATTTTTCACAAACAAAACATTCAAATTCTTCCAATGTTTTTATGCCATCTAATTGGTAAGGTCTCTGTCTATATTCATTTATTAGATTCTCATTTGTTATTATTTGTTTTGTCTTATGTTCTAAATATTCTTCATATAAACTATCATTTTTCATTAATTCCATTATATGTTCATATAAAATCTTTGGTGTTGGATAATCTTCCAAAAGTATTCCAGACTTTTTGTTTGGAAACCAGTCCCTTATAGACGGTGAACCAAAGTACAATGGGACAGTGCCTACTTTGATGGCGCGCCAAAACTTTTCCGTAACATAATCATTGCACACTCCATTTTCTATAGCAATTACAAACTTGTATCTTGCAATAAAGTGCAGAAAAGTTTCTTCATTCAAATTATTCAAATAATCCTCCTTAAATTTCTGTGGTAAATCTTTGTTTTTCAAGCATTTGCCGTAAGAGTCCACTTTTATGTGTTTCATAAGTTCTTGAACATAAGCATCTCTTTCAGTTGAAGTTTCACAGTCACTCTGTAAGTACAGTACAGGTGCAATCTCTTTTAACAATTCATTTTTCAATTGAGTACTTAGAAAATATCTTGGGCTTGTAATATCTTCATATGCATACAAATGTTGTAATGGAAATGGAACATTGCTGTGTCTGCTGAATGTAGACGAAAAATTAAATAAATTAAGAGCTTTTTCATGTAAAAACTCTTCAACGTTTCTTGGAGATTCTTCATGAAACAGGGCCCAAATTATTTCATCAGGTCTCCTTGGGATAGGAAGGTTCTTAAAATCAATATTGCTAGCGTAAAATAGATATGCTTCTGTATTGTAGATATTACTCATAAGTCTATCACTATACACATAACATTTAATACTGTCTGAGCAATGGCGAACATTTGAAGTGCCTGGAAATTCCAAAGTCCACCAAAGTATAACCGGATACTTCATATTAGTTTTTGGCTCTCTTGATTCCTTCACATCACTATACATCAATATGACACTGAACGCTACTGCAATCATAATTAACCACAACAATTCACACAGAGTAATATTTATAATTCTCTTTGATATTCTTTTTAACATTTTCGATGTAAATAGCACTGCAGCTCTAAAATTGTATGTCGACTTTTTACACATTATTTCATCAATGTACAATGGCTTATCACTTAGTCACACTATACAGGATGGCGCTATGACAGGAATCAGTTATCAGTGTTTTGTATAACAAAAAATAATACAATTATAAGGATAACAATGAGTTTAATTCACACATCAGTATGTCCAGCCTCTTTCTTTTGTCATATAGTATAAATCCATAGAGAGAGCAATAATTAGATCAGCATAAAATAAACCATATATTGCACCTACCAATCTACCAATTACAAAGAGGTTGATTACTGCACATATTGTGATTAGAAGCTGAATTATCACATAGTAAAATTCTGCCTCATACTGAACTTGGTCCACCACATAAAGCACCATAATTTGAGTGGTCAGCATGAGAGTGGGGCCGGCCACCAAGCATTGTAAGATATCCACCGGGGTCACAACATGAGGCAGTATATTGAGAAGCAGAGCCACTACCTAAAAGAGATGTACCCAGTTGTAGACTTTACAAATTACAACAACTAAAGTAAATTAAAATGAGAACTATTATTATAAATAAGAACCATAATTTTGTAGCATAACAGTATATGCATAAAGCAGGTGTTCAATTTGGCTAAATTTTCTGTTTTTAAATAGCTTAAACACCTTTATAATGTTCTTTGTTTATAATTACATTTTATTTTTCTAAGCATATTCAAAATGAAGTAAACATCCATATACAGTTGTGTTATTGATATTTGTGGTGGTATTATTTCAAAACACAAATCCAATGTTCTTTCTTTTTAAGATACTTATTAAAATGTGATGTTATATAGCAATGCTCAAATCTACTGAATAATACGAGTTTGTATGCTTTCTTAAAGCATTTTATTTGATTTAAACATTCTATTTCATTAGTGCAAATCCCCGTTCCTTGATAACATAATATAGATCTATGCACAGCGCAACAAGCTGGTGACAGTAAAAAAGTCCATACAAGGCTCCAGATGGACTAGGCTTAATAAAAATAAATGTAAATGCTAAGGCAGTACAACATATTTGCATGATTAAGTAAAGTTGTTCTGCCAGGTCATGTACTTGGTCCACTAAATATAACACGATGAACATAACTGACAAGACGAGTGTAGGGGCGATGGCCAGGCAGTGTATGACATCCGGCTCCACCAATACGAATGGGAGAATCATGAGGAGCAATGATATAACCTAAAAGTAATAATTCTTATGACATTTATGTCCTGCAATTAAGCTTGAGCTTACCGACTACGGGTTTGATGCTTTTACATTCTGGCGTATGAGAGGTTGGCATTTCCAGAATGATATATTAGTGGAGGATAGCTTTGGAGGTGTTAGAGATTCCTACGCATTTACATGGTTCACGAATTTTTATAGTTATTTAACCACAACAAAGCAACAAATTACAAAAACAAACTAATTTTTTTTGTCGAATGTCAAAATCTGATGTCATTTTGCGATCAGGTCAATGTCATCCACAACTCCGCATAGTGATGCTAAGTAAGGTTGCAGTGATTACAAAAAATATTCCGAAAACATTTTTTATAAATAATGTTTATTGGCTTGAATATTAAAGATCAATACGATCTTTTCTACTTAACATTGAATCAAAAGACAGGTTTAAATTTAATATTATTATATTAACACTGACTGTATGATACACTTTAAAAATATTATTCTAATATTATTTTTATGCACAACTAAAAGTACAACCCCGTTCATTAGCAATTAAAAATAAATCAAGTGATAATGCCGTTAACAGTGCAAAATAGAATATTCCATATATTAACCAAAGCCAGACTCGAACAAGATTTAATAAAAAACATTGAATAAAGGCGCCAAAAGTAAATAAAATTTGAAAAAACAAATACATTTTTTCCATAAATAGCGGCACTTTTCTTCGTATGTAGAGAATTATAAATAAAAACGATATGACTACCGTGGGACCAGTTGCTATGCAGTACATATGTCCTTGAGGTTTTGCGATGCCCAGTGGTAATAATAGAATAACGGTCGAGATTGCCTACAAGGAATGAAATCGAGCTAGTATCAAGAATATTCATAAGTATTGCACAAATTATAATGTTCCGATATACTTACAAATTCAACAAGTTTCATAATAAAGATATTGTATCTTATAAGTTCACTCCACTTCTTATCCACTGGGACAGAATCTAAAAAGGAAAAAGGGGGCCTTTTAATATTGAAGGGAATTTTTATTTTTCAACTTGTTACTTTAAAAAGTATATATTATTTCACATTCAATTTACATATTTAAGCATACACTTTAAGTCTCAGTTAAGAACATTATAATTTTGGGGCAGCTATCACGTAGGATTTTATTAACAAATGCACAGATATAATAGATAGAAAATACCATGATTTACTTCTGATAGGCAAGTTGTTTATTCAATTGATTGAATTATAGCTTAAAAAGAGAACTACTGGTTTTTAACAAAATTATAACCAAGTCTTATTTTAAATACTGAACCTACCTGAGTACTAGTAATATTGAGAGCCTGGTGTCAGCCTTAACATTTAAATATGAATACTTACCAATAAGATTTACAAACAATACATAAAGTTGTAGTGGTTCAAAAGTAGATTTAGAGAAAGCAATAAATTCAAAATTGATCAGAGCATTAAATAAAGACAATGGATGACTCATAAATTTAAATCTATTTTCTGAAATTACAGCAATAAATTAGATATCTATAATAAGGATAGCTGAAATAATACGGAATAAATACCATTTATTATCATATCCGACATTTTTGTTTTATATTAATTTCTGATTTAAGTTAGTTAATGGGGTTTAACTGTAATGTTTACAGTGGCGTTTATGGTTCACATTTAATAATATATAACTAATAAAATACAATAAAATAAATATCTAAAAGAATATTTTTGATAATATGAAGGATGTCAATTATGTCAGTTTCTTTTTATTCATATTACCCGAAACTCATGTATGAGAGTATTAAAGGTCAGTCTCAGAACGTGATAGAAGAGTTTGTATTACTTTCTTTACTCTACCATTACCATCAGGGAGAATCACTCACGTGTTTCTTCTTAACTAATTAGTGTTAGTAATCACAGAAAGATTAATAATGTAGGTATTCAGCTAGGTATAATTTGGGGGCAAAAAATGCTTTTTTTCCCCGAATACATGTGTGCAAGGTTAGTTGTTAAGACTTGAAAGCGTTACAAATAAACTCAATTTTAACCCACTCATAAACAAATATCCATTTACAATTTCCCCCAATTCTAAGAACTCTGGGAGAAGGGATACTCCAAGAGCGGCAAGCAATTGTGTCCTTAAATTGCATACCTATTGGCGGATTGAGAATATGAAGTGTCACCACCCCTTATCATTCCGTGACTATCGTGAGAGCCGACTAAGGGAGAAAACTATGCAGGCTAACGGTACTGCAAAGAGGAGGAAAACTTTTAGGGTATATACCTGGTTCCCCGGCTATTAGTACCAGAGACGGCGTGCGGTTTTCCGATCGGAAATGGCTATTAGAATTAGAAATGGCTTCCTGTACAGTGAAATGGTGATGTACGGTATCAGGTTTTCGAGGAATCCCAATAGCTAGCTTATGACACAATAAAATTAATTACAAAGATGCTTAATGAAGATAAACACATAGTCCTTCAATGGGTTCCCTCACACATTGGTTTAGGAGGTAATTCTATAGTAGATTCCTTAGCAAAACAGTCAACATTTATGGGTATATCAGTTCCTCGTGAACCTTATTTTACTGACTTGTTGCAGTTGATCAGAGAACGCTGCATTAACATATGGAGAGAGTACTTTGATGAAAGGTCTCGTACTGTTGGTATTTGGTATAAGACAATACAACCATACCCCTCGCCCGTTCTTTGGTTTGCGGACTCCGATCTGTCGGGACAGGAAGTTGTCACTGCCCTTAGACTTCGGAGGATTTCCGCACGGAAAAAAAAAGGGGGTAATTTGTGACTTGTACAAAGATTATAGTCCATCTTATCTAAGAGGTACCGTTAGACGCTCCATACTTTTGAAGCTTAATAATTTAAGTAAAATTAAATAAATATTTAAAAAAAAACTTTTCCGTAGAGAAATGGAATTATAAAGCATTTTATCTTTTATTACAAGATTTACAATTTATATGAACTAAATTTAAATGTAAATCTTTTAAACAAAGCAAAACAACTATAAAAACTAATAAACTTTTTTTTTACTTCGTTTCAAAGTCACGTAGTTAGGTCTTTTACCGTAGTGTTGTCACTCACTTGTATACGAATAATTGTTTAAATGTAAGAATAATTGTACATACATCTTTTAGTATTTGCAACACCTAGCTTCAAATCGAACGTTAGGAACTCTGACAAACAAACGTACTGAGCATAAAAATACATTTTCATTTCATTTCTATAAAAATATAAGAAGTTTCGCTTCAGGACAGATTCACATTCACAAGACAGATGTACAGTCTTGTAATCGTGTTGAAATTGTCTCCACATAGTTTTTCTTAATATGTCAATTCATATACATAACAAAAAACAGTTACCAGCAATTATCGCCCTTAAAGTTATTTATCTAAAAACGTGTCTTCTGGCCTCTATAAATGATGCTGATTACGAATATTTAAAAAGAAATTAGAAATTGCGGATTTTTTATCATTTATATGTGATGAGTTTAAAAAAAAGGTGCAACCAAATTTCAACCTAATAATTATTCTTCATATTTGAATTAAATTGGGGTAAATTGCTTGCAACAGTTTCTTGTTTAATGCCTGTGTTGGCTAGCATAAAATTAGGATCAAGGCGTTTTTCGACCTATTTTGCCAATGAATATCGTTGACGATCATATATTCCTGAAACTAGACCTGTGTTATTTAATTCTCTTTACTCATGTGTAATTGTTTTTATAGATGTTCCTTTGTTTTTACTGATCATCATTTGTCTACATTGCTTATATAGATTTACAAGTAAAACCTAAGATAAAATAATATACGGGCTTATACAGTAACATATAAATTTGTAAAACTGTAATCGATGTGAAAATACAAAGAAATGATATTGATATCTCTTAAGAATAGGATATCGTAGCAATTGATTTCTTTGACCCCCTCTTTATTCTTGTCTGTCAGAACTGTCAAACGGTACTTCTTAGATTAGATGGACTAAAGTACCAAATCCGACTTTGATAGTTCAGTGTCAAACATACTTAGCATACTTTACAACAGTATACATACAATGTCTATGGTGCACACTAAAACCTAATATTAATTATTGTACTGTGGTTCTGTATTCCGAACTGATCTGTCAAAATGGTGGACTTGTTCTAATGTACTGTCAATTGGCTTTGCGTTTGAATTTTTAGACATTTTAAAATAGTCCTGGAACCATTCCAGTCATGTCGTAAGTTCATTGTAGACAAACATTGACGCACTATGGAGGAAGAAGATCCTGTAGTACAAGAGGTAATAACTTTGCCTAAAATTAACTACCAACGTGGTACCTCATAAGGTTATGTTATTAAAATAAAGATACGAAAAAATTGATGTATTTGCTTGGTGATTCTTTTCAGATACCTGTGTATCTCTCACAGGCATTAGCGGATAACTTGTACATATATCAGTATCCAGTGAGACCGGCCAACAGAGACTGGAAAGACGTTAAAGTTGTGAATGCATCTGTTAAACCTAAAAACAAAATGGTTAGATTAGAAATCGGTTTAGACACGTATAGTGACAAATATTGTGAATCTAAAGGCGAACAAATTGCTATTAATACTGATGGACAACAGGTAATAAATTAATCTAGACACAATCATATACAATGAATTATTATTGTTGTTTAGAACAAGTTGAAGTAAAAAATTTCATTATAATTATTTCTGTTATGCAGGAGTCTTCGTGGCACGTAAAAGAGAAGGACAAGTCACAATACTTCAAGCGTGGCATTATGGACAAAATTGTATATGAGAGCAGTACTCCTTGTGCAGAAAATGACCATTATGCAGTTGCTGTACTACAAGATAAAGAGCTACATTGTACACCTATACAAGGTAGTAAACTAATTACCAATTGTACTTTTTAACTATATACCTAGGGATTAATCCTTCAGAAGTACCATCTGTAGGTGGGTTTAAAAAATGGATGCTTAGCCTCCGTCTATCCCTTCAGGGAATAAGACATGAGTGTATCTTATTATGTGTGACTCCTTGTTAACTCAGTGTACTATAAAGTAATTTTATGGACCACTACAACAGTAGTAAATGTGGGTATACTTTAAAGAGGATGATGATGATTTCTACTTTAATATCTTGATGCCAAACCTACTTTAATCACATCATTAAATTATCATAAAGAAAACATTCATCTGTCTTCATTTGTAAGTAGTCTTAATGTGTTATCAACATCATCACAACAACAGCCTTTACTAGTCCACTGCTGGACATAGGCCTCTCCTTAGAAAGGAGGTTTTGGCCTACTGGCCAGACGGGTTGGTATAGGGTTTGTTTCAAGTTTTCCTTCTCTCTTCTTAATGTATATCAGTTTTATAAATGAATTTGACTTCATTTGTCTGTGACCATAGCCAGTTCAATCCTGTTCCAACTGCCAGGTAATTCAAAGATATTGCATATCATTTAAGAGTGAATTTTCTCTTTAGTTACATATAATTAGATAATATGATGTTTACCAAATTTTGGAAAAGTTTCTGCTAAATAACTACATATTGGTTAATCTCTATAAATTCTTTGATTTATTTCTTAGGTATTATTCAGATGAGGCCGTCATATTCATATTATGACAAACAAGATAAACGTAAACAGGATAAGAACAAAAATGACGATTCTGATGATGAAGACAATGAGCCTGTAGCCAAACAGGTAGGTTTAATTTAAATTGCCATTTAAACCTATTAAATGTAAATGGTTCTTGTAAATTATTTTTAATACTAATGTAACTGAATGTGTACAAGAGTAATACTGTTGCGGGTATTTGAAATAAGGCTTGCAAATCAAAACCAATAATAAAAGGCCTATCCTTAAATTTTCTGTAGTAACAGTAAAACTTTTTGTCTTTAATAACTATGAGTGGCTATTTGTGTCCTAACACAAATAGGACAGCACATGACACTTTCTGATGCAATATCCTAATATTGCATCAGAAAGTTCATCTGTCCATTAGACTTTATGATGTGATTACATCATAAAGTCATAATATGGCATAGATTGTTTAATAGTGAGTGCTGTTACTGCTTTATTTAAATGATTTTTTCATTTAAATAGAAAATGAAATAATAAGATTTAATAAGTTTGTTTTAGAACAATATACCTATATTTTTTTTTTTATAATTTTTAAAATTTTTACGTGTTTTAAGGTAACTGTAAAATTCGCGCGTCAAGAGACTGAAGTTTCGAAGAAGGCAAAAGAGAAGTCCTTTGAGACGATGTCACAGCGCATCGCCGACGAGTTCTGGTATGATGCCCTATGGAAACCTTCTGATACCGATCATGCTGAGGTAAGATAAAAATCACAGTTTTGCATACATAGTTTTGATTGCAGTTAACTTTTATTTATTATTTTACATACATATGTACATTTGGATATACCCTCTGGGGTAACTGTGATTTATCAAAATTGGATACTGGAATGTGATGGGTTCTACTAACACAGAGTGTGTTGAGTGAGTAAGAGTCGAATGATACAAAGTATGGGGGTATTCTTCATGCTTCATTCTCTTTTAGATCATTATAGTGTCACAAATAACTTTAGAAATATTAATGATCTCTAAAAATGAGCTGGAAATATCTAATTCTTATAATTTTAACATATGTTTGGCAATGTCCAGTAAGTCCTTAAATACTATCATAATATTTTAAAACTAGGCAGCGAATAAAAACTTTCCTGCAGGAATTAAAATTTAGTAATAGTCCAATGAAAGCGATAAGGCATTAACTACAGGTAATGTAATGTTGTATTTACATATTATTGTATTCTTAGCTGGAGCGCCTTAAGTTATTCAGCGCGACAACCTCGGATGGATCTGCATTGACAGTTCGAGCTCGCGAGTACATTCGTGACCTCGTGCCCCCACCGCCCCCTGACGAAGCCGACACCGCACCCACCAAGATTCCATCGCCTAGTGACCAGATCAAAGATATACTTCTAAGAGGTATGTCTGTATATGTTAATTATTATTTATGTTGAACATTTTTTTTGTTTCTGGATATGATGTAGGATATATGTAGTAGAAGCTATGAACTACTGCTCTGCACTTAGTTCTGTTAAAAGTTATCAGCCTGTCGCAGTCAAATTTCAGTGATCACTTTTCTTTGAACTTTATTTTGGGCAGCCATAGATTATCCTCAAACTCTATTTCATTTTTTTATAAATTGTTTGAAATCGTCTTTTATGTAGACTCTAAAGTCATAGATCAACACACACAAAAGCAACCATAGTAAGCGAATAAAGGGGAATGCCGATATTAGGCCCAGAACGCCCAGAAATTATATTTTGCTGAAAAAACATAATTTAAATTTTCTTAATTTTCCTTGCTATTCAAGTCAGGATAAAAGACAGAATAATTTTCGGCAAATTAAATAACACTAAAACAATTTTATCTTAATACACTGACATTTGCATTTTCTGGGTTGCCAACTTTTCTTAAAAAAATCAAATAGTATTTTGACAAAATATTCACATTGAACTTTTTTACTTACTCGTACTTTGTTTATATACATTTGAGTATTTTAAAATTCTATTGTATTGTAATTATACATTGACAATGAGCATATAAAATACTGATCTACTTGTTGGGTCGATCGATAATGCGATATTTTGTTTATTAAATGGCAACTATAGTATTATTAATTTAAAACTACTCAAACGTCAGTTTGATTAGAGCTTTAAAATAATAAGCTGCCCAGTTGTTAATTTATCATTACTTTGTTTGCCTTTGCATCACCGTGATTTGTGCGTGTTTCTCGATATTATTTAATATTAAAGGGTTAATTCTGACCATGAATACTGACAGACGATTCTTCTTTACCTGACAACCACGGCTTGCATATGGATTCCGCTCCTACTGATAACGACAACCCCCGCGATAACATTCAACCTGGTTCTAGTTCTTCTCTGCAAAGACCGTCTACTGCTAATATTACTAGTGGTTATGTCCGCTGTGTAAATTGTAATTTAAATAATTCAAGAATGCGAAGACACGCATTGGAAATTGCTGATCCCTTATACAAAGATGGGTTGGACAGCTGCAGGTAAATAAATACATCTAACCTACATACAAAAAACTTCAAATGGCTTTATACAACTCAACATAATCTAATTTATTTATTTACTTTTTTAGCAAGTTTCGAGTGATAGTTTGGTATGTCATACATGTTGGACCAATGCATGGAATGAAATTAGGATGCCAACCAGTCAACGGCCTGAGCCTCTCGTTGGCCACATTCATGTATGCATCAGCTGTGGAACTTTGCTTTTAAGGCAAGGGTCATCTAGCTTTTAACACACCACATTGCGAACAAATAAGGAATATTATTACCCATCAAATTGCACCATGTGAGGTAAGATAATATAGGATATTATTGTTAGGAATATACTTTGTAAAGAGAGTTAAGAGTGGTTACAATCAGACTTGAAATAAATAGCTGTAATGTGTCTTAGACTGAGATAAAGTGTCTATCCAGGTAGTTGAATTATAGCTATATTGTAATGTTCTAAGAATAAAGAATAATAACATCTTACATATGGCTGGCTGGTCCCAAACTAGGCAGAGCCTCTACTGTGGTAACCAGACTGCTGATAAACATACTTAAATATTATTTTAAACACATATTAAAGATAAATTGTTAATTAAAATCTTCTCACTCGTTATCACACTCAGTAGAGTTGTCATGGTCATTGGTCTGACTGGTAACGCACCTCACTATCCCTTGCCACTCCTTTCATATTAATGCATTTCACCCACACTCGCTCATTCAAATAAAAGTACCTATATGGGATAGACTTCTTTGTCGAATCATTTTCTGAGGATTGTTGTTTTACCATTTTAAGAGAAAAAACATTTATCTTTTTTCTTTGACAGTTGCCAAGATCAGCCCATCTTTGTCATAACTGTTGGCGAAGGACTGAAAGAGCAGTTGCTCGCTTTACTTCAGATTGGGAATCAGCAGTGTCAAGTCACCCATTATTGAACATTGAATCTTCTCAAGCACAAGCTGAAGGAAAAAATACAACTCCATCTCATGGCTTGCAGTAGCCTAACTATATTTGAGCTCCTAGCACACAGCGACAATGTTTGAAAGTAGTCCTTTCCGTCAATTTTTTGAACCTGAGGATGTATTTATTCTCGACAAAGGTTTTAGAGACTCATTACCGCTCCTAAGGAGTTGTGGCTATAATATCCATATACCATTATCCCCAAAAGATGGTGAGTCACAATTAACAACTAGAGAAGCAAATAAATCAAGAGCTGTTACTTTATGTCGATGGGTGGTGGAAGTGGTGAATGGAATATTAAAACTAGTTTAAAATATTTAGGCAAAGCTTTTTCAACAGAGCTTCCAAGCATCTAATGATAGATTTCTCTGTGGCTGCTGCTCTGATAAATAAATATCACACCAGATTACGAGACAGAGATGATGCCACTGAAATAATTGAAATTGTGAACAGGAATATGAACAGAAACAATGACCTTTCAGATTATGTTAGGGATCATAATCTCAATAGAGCCAGAGCAGATTTCCAAAATAATAATGTTGACTGGGAAAATATAATTAGTATGGAGAGCATATAAGGACCAACGGTTCATACCAAATAGAAGTCTCTAGAGACTCTAGGAATAGAATAATGGAAAAACTAATTTTTTACTCCAATTGTTACCTACTTAGAAAAAGAATTGCAAGTCGACACATCAGTCGCAAAATATACTTCATATATATACTAGCTACCAATACGGAAACTGGTACCGAGGCTATCAAACAATACTGCTGCAACTGCATTGTTGGCCGTTGTACAGTAGGATGCTGTGCTCATGTCATGACAGTGCTATGGTATTTGGGGTGGGCACTGCATCAAGGTAATATTTTGCCTCCTGCTCCATTTTTGGATGATGTTTTGGTAGTGTATGATGAATAAAGGTTTAACTATTTAAACTGAGTTTCATTTTCAACCATCTAAGATCAAAAAAGAGCAGGAAAACTATACCAACCCATTTGGCCAGCATGGTATAGCAGGCCAAATTCTTCATCCACCATTGGAGGAGGCCCATGCTCAGTAGTGGGAGGTTTATGGGCTGACATGGATGGATGGATTATAAATACAATATTAACTAGGTAAATGTATACAGGAAGGGTTTCCAAACCCTTACATTAAAAAAAAAATAAAAACCTTGACATTTATGAAACCCCAAGTTTTGTGTTAACTTGTCTTTTGTGAATAAATTATTTATCTGTCAAAGAAATATTTGCATCCATTTTCACATATGGGCACTCAGGGCCTAAACCACTATGGTGGCCTGGCATACCCCTTTAATATCCATACAGCCTTATCAAGTTTAATGCATACCAAAGAAAATCCTGTTGCGTCTTTATTTTGTTTGACCTAAATGTTTGAGAACTAGGGACAGGTGTTTTAATGTACTCTGTCATCTGAATGGGTAAAGAAAAGCGTTGTTTTTTCAGTTTATCTCTCCATAAGAACATTCCTTACGCCTTAATGAAATTATTGTAAAACATTAGCCAAATTGGTCGAGCCGTTCTCGAGTTTTGTGCTTAATTTTCAAAATATTTACGTTAGTATTTTTATTATTTTTCGGCATTCGAACCAATCATATGATAATCAAAAGATATACGAGGGTTACGAGATGCGAGGGATAATATACTATTTATGTATCCGGAACTGGCCAGTTACAGAACAATATTAAAAAAGTAATTATAACATCTAAAAATGGAACTCTTTGCTGAAGAATACAATTTGTTTCATGTAGCTGCTATTTGTTTATTCTTTGTAGCGTTATTTTGAAAATTGCTTGTCTTTATCACTATGGATTTGACTCGTGAATTTTTTTGTGCTTTATTACGATTTTCGGTAAGGGCTAACTCAAAAACAGTGTATCGATTAACTCACTTCGACTTTTGGGGACGAAGCACCATCAAAAACAACTGTGTATCGCTGGTTTAGTGAGTTTAGTTAGTTGGTTTAGTTTATTGTTACCGAGGGCGGTCTGTGTTCACGGACGAATTTAAAGAAGGTCGCCCTATATCGGTTGTTGTACCTCAAAATATTGATGCTCTGCGGGAACTAATAATGCAAGATCGTCATGTCACATATCGCGATATAGAGACGTCTCTGGGAATAAGTACGACGAGTATAAGTATATAAAATATTACACGAACATTTAGCTGTAATACAAAAAAATTGTTCACGTTAGATTCCGCACAACTTGAGAATTGACCAAAAACGGGCTCGTGTCGAAAGCGGTCTATAATATCTATATAGGTGATGAATCTTGGATATATGCGTATGATCCTGAAATTAAACAACAATCAAGGGTTTGGGTGTTGATGAGCAAGATGAGCCAAACCCAACAAAAGTCATTCGTTCAAAAATCACTTGGAAGCAAACGGTCCCTAGTTTTTTTGGTATAAGAGAATTGTAAAACGGTTAATTCTGAATGTTACACGAAGCAAATGGTTTGCCAGAAGTCTATGAAAAAATGGGAAAGAATAACCGACAACGCAGAATCCTTCTTCATCATGACAATGCCAGCTGCCACACATCGGCCGAAACAACTCAGTATTTGGAAGATCAAAAGATCGAATTAACGGTCATCCGCCGTACAGCCCTGACTTGGCCTCCAACGATTTCTATTTATTCCTAACCGTGAAGAATAAATTATGTGTTAACGTTTTTGCGTTCAAAATGCACGTTTTGGAGATACCACAATCAGAATGAAAAAGTGCTACGAAAATTGGTTTCAACGTCAGCAAAAGTGCATTGATCATCACAGCGAATATTTGAAAAGCAATGAAACCATAATAATTGCTATATTTTTGTTTCACTTTTTTATTCTGGATAAATAAATAGCAGCCCTCGTATATGGTACCTATTAAAAAAAAATTGTGTCACGAAGTCATAATCATGACTGTACTCGTTTTCTATTCTTCGGGAATTGTATTTTTGTATCTTATTTCCTTGTCTGTACTCGTTGATAACATGTGTACTAAAGTTCATGTTGAGACGTAGCACAGTGTACCGCGTAGAACATGCTAGGTGGACAAAATTCATGTTATCATTTCCAGGAAATCTTATTTGCAAAACGTAAACAATACCCCCAAACCCCGAATTCCGAGAAAATGTTGTTCGTCAAATTCGCAAGTGGTGAGTCATAAGGGTCAGAAGTCAGGTAATGAGTTTAATGCAACCCTTTCAATCAATCAGTTGCAATTTAGCGATACTTTCGTGCACATCTCATAGTGGCATATTGTAATATTGTGAAAGTTTTTGAGATGGATATTAATACTGAGGGTAAGTACTATTTTTTAATGTATTTTTTTAATCATAATCTATTAATTGGAATTTTTAGTTTTTTTTTTTAAATAGCCTATACGTTTTAGCGTATTTTTTTTATAAAAAAAACTTTGAAAGGTCAGAATATACAGACATTCACCTCTATCCGGGCTAGTTTTTAGATATTACTCAGAAATAACTTTATTCTTCGTAAAAATACACATATTGTTTAGCACACACCAGTACAACCTGTTTTTTTCTTTTTTTTCAGAACACGTTTACTCTATTTCAAGGGTAGCCTTTCTTGAAGAGTGGTTGAAACACACGAAGAATGAAAAAAACTCGCGTATATATGACTATCTTTCTTCAAAATTTCACTTTGGTGACATTACTGAAAGCAGCCAAAAAGAAACAAAGTTGAAGATATCTAACTTGTCTAATAAGATTGGTGCCAAATGGTTGGCTTCAGGAAAGTCGAAGGAGCGTTTTTTAATTAAAAATAAGACTTGGTTGGATGAAGCAGACATACAGTTTACTGTGAGTTCTTTTGCGCCACAACCTTCGACATCAATTGAGGCTGTGACTCCTGCAGGAAGGCCTCTCAAAGATTTCGAGAAATCGTCGTTTAAGACGAAGAAACGTCGCGTAGTGGATCTCGTAGAATCTCGAAGTGTCAATGAATTGGTGACTGCTGCCGAAATTGCTGTGCGTTCAGCAGGGCAAAGGAAAATTGCCAATGTGATTAGAGACATTAGTGAGAGCCCAGATAATACTATTAAGTCTAAAAATACCATTGAAATTTAAGAACGAGATGGGACTTATTGTAGATAAGCCAAAGCCAGGACTTGGTTCTTCAAATGATGGAAATACAGCCCGTCGCTTTTTTAAGAATGCTGAGATGAGTGCTCAGATCACAGGGTTGGATGTTACAATTATAAAAAAGTTTGATGTTATTTTGAGGACATTGTCTTCTGGATTCGAGATAAACTTAGTTGAATTCAATAAATTTTGTCTTGAAACCAGAAAACATTATCTTAGTGTCTATTCGTGGTACTGTATGCCTGCTACTGTGCATAAAATATTAATTCACAGCACAGAAGTCATCAAAGCGGCATTGCTTCCAATTGGGCAGCTTTCCGAAGAGGCTCAGGAAGCACAGAATAAAGATTGCCGCAGATTTAGGGAGTACAACACCCGCAAGTGCTCGCGTGTTGCCACGAATAGAGACTTACTGTCTATGTTAATTATAACATCTGATCCTTTGATTAATAGCCTTCGAGAGATTCCCAAAAAAAAGCTGGAAAAAATATGTACAGATGTAAAAAGATAATTGTAAGCCCTAGCATAGAAAAGTCCAGACTGGAATCGTCATCATATTGTCGCACAATGCCACAAAATGATGATGATTGTATAATCAAGTGATAGTACAACTAATTACTGTATAGTAAACGACTCATCAGAAGACTCTGATGATGATTATTAGGTTAAGCTACTTTAGTTATGTTGTTAAAAAATTTTGTTTGTTTGTATATTATTTTTATTAGTATAGTATATATATTAATTTAATATGATTATTGGACGCTAATTGTAGTATGTACTCGTGCTTGTACTAAGCATGTAAACCTTGACTTGTAAATTTTTCTTTATCAGTAAATATTTGAGTATTTTAAATATATTTTTCTGATTTAAAAAAATCGTTTTTTATTAAAAAATAAAACAAAAAACTGTAAATAATATCTAAATATGACTACCTCTATGTAAAAGCATCTTTATATAACATAAAATAATTTTGTCCACCTAGCATGTTCTACGCGGCATACTGTGCGTAGAGGTTAAAGGTTAAAATTTAGCTTCAATGCTAGACACCTATTTAGGCAGGTTTTGAAATGTGCCGTTGATTCAAACATTAATGTTTACTATTACGTGTTTCCTTATAATTCGCGTCGTTTACCTTTTCATTGTTTATACAATATCGTCACCTCTACAAAATACTTTTTATTTCTTACTAGCAAAACTCATGACATTCAACGATCTCCGCGCGTTTGTCCGCACTGATGACGGCCCTATATCGGAGAGCGCCCTGTTGTCTGCGCTGAGCGGAGCGGCGTGCTGCGTGCGCGGCCTGTGGGCGGCGCGCTCGCCCGACCTGTACACGCGCGCCGCGCCCGTACCGCCCCGCCTCATGTGTGCCGCCAGAGACCACGTGGTGAGTACCTCCTATAGTGCTCCCCCGACCTCTAAACGCGCGCCGTGCCCTGCCGCCAGGGACCATGTGATGTAGTTGTGGTCGGAATTATTACAGTTCTTTGATTTCTCCTATTTTATTTTCCAGCTTTATCTCTTCACACAACATCCTTACGTGGACAGACGAAAGATAGCAGCAGCTGTGCGCTTACCGGCCCCACAAGTTCTAGAAATCATCAGCTCTGTCGCCAAGTTCAACGAGCGAGTCGGCTGGGAGCTCCTCATACCACCGGATACGGCCTTCGAAGCCAAGTACCCTGACGTTGTTCAACGTCAAAACTTGTATTGGGAGGCGAGGCAGAGGTTGTTCAATGAAATGTTGATAGGTGAAAACGTGCCTAAGAGACAAAGGAAGAAATCTCAGCGAGACTCGGTCAGCTCAGATACTCTGATGAGTCCGAAACCGAGGTGTAACAGTGTTAGTGAAGAAGATGGAGATAGAAAGAGACCTAAAAATAAATCTGCCACAGGCAGTGGAAAAAGGACTAGAAATATGAGTTCAAGTAGTGCACAAGATGCAACGTGATTTATAATACAATTAGGTTATCAAATTCTAGTGTAGTGTTCCTAGCGTTGCTTGGTTAAGTGAAATGTGTACTGAGTTTGGACTACTTTGGTGCTGTCGATGTTATCATGAAGTCTGATTGAGAAATAATGTTGTAAGCTTGACATGTAAAAGTCTGTTTTTTTTAGTAGTCATGCTGTTTGTGACTATAAATTGTAACAAGTTAAATTATTTAAAAACATATTGGTATTTGGAAACCAAAACCTATTTACAACTTTTAATTTATTATAACTCATATGCTGCTAACTGTCTCTGAACCTACTGCGTAACTTTATGGTACTTTTACACGCTTGGCACGTCTCGACAAATATCCACAAACAAAAGCGTCTAAACGGGGTGTATGAGCTTGGCGCCGATCCGGGCTATTGTCGATTTTTGAACACAAATCAATTGAAGCTTGCGGCAAGCGCTTGTGAAATATTTTCATGTTAACGCGTGTTAAGTGTCTCTGTTTATATTTTGAAGAAAAATATGTAAAGTCAAACGCAATAGCCGATACAACTTCAACGTTTGCTATGTTTGCCTGTTCGGAAGCCACTAACACACTTGCAGGCGTGTAAATTTCATCCAAACAATCCAAATACACTTGGAGCTTGTGGACATTTGCCAAGCCTCGGCAAGCGTGTAAATTGGGCATTACAAGTTAAAATTATTTCTCTAGTGGAGCACTGACTGCACAATTTAAAGAATACCTTAAATATAATAAAATGTTGGAATAAAAAAACACTTAGCTAAGTCTGTAAGTCTATTGACTGATATAAATATCATATATATTGTATAATGTATTAAAAAATGTAATAAACAGGTGACAAAAATAGTGCATTTTAAAGTTTTAACTTACTAAGTTTATAACACCTGTAATGTATTTAATGATTCATAACTTGTATATCATCATAAAATATACTACACTGATATCTCAATATATGTTAATATAATATTCCTAGACACATCTCACACGCCGTCTGATCTCAAACTAGGCTGAGCCTGTACTATCAGACTGCTTATACGTATATCGTGTTCATCACACAATACTTGTCCTGGAAGTGAATCGAACCCACGACCTCACCTTAGCAGTCAGGATCGCTAACCACTCGACCAACAGGTCAGTCAGTTAAAATATTTTGAGTAGCCAAGTACTGTACATTAATGTTTTAAGGGAAATTATGATAAACTTTACCATCCCATTGTAATTTAAAAATTATGAAGTATATATGTTATGTAAATTCTTACAGATTTCATTATTATTCATCAAGATGTTAAAGCATTAAAATTACTTGAAGAGTCACCTGTTAGTAAAATATTGAATTTAACATTTGATGCCAATAACATGCACTAATTATTAACAGCAAGTTATCTTAATACTAAGATGACTCTATGTAGGAATGTTAATTCCCTTTATATTTTAAGATATTTTTACAACAGTACTCCGAGTTTATTGAGGCAGATGGTAATTGTTTTAACCCTTTCCATTAAGATTAAGAGATAACAAACACATGCATACAAAGCATATTCGTGTTACGGAAAATAGTCCATTCTAACTACGTATGTATATAGTGAGCTTCTGACTCCATTCACACTGTAAAAACGAATATAAAATAGGTATCCTGATTCATAAAATTTACTATTATACTATATGTATATCAGACTTAGACGATGAAAATATAATCGTGTTTTATTGTGAATAAGTTATTCGAATTATAGTACCTAGGTATTCATCTATTTATATGTGATGTCTGGTTAACAGACAGTTATGAGTGTTAGCAATCGTAAATGTCGTGTATACTTATCTTAAATTCTCCTAGACTCCTTTGAACGCACAAATCGAAGGTCCCTACTTATAGAAAGTTATGTTCAAATTTGATCATTTTTTTAAATTCAATTTTTTCATTTCATTTCATTATTAGTATTTAATCATGCATTCAGGTTTCTGAAATGAGTAAGATTTACATGTCAAATCTTTTTTATCTGTGTCGTACAAATAAGACATTTTTAAACTAAAAAATAAATATATATAAAAAATCTGAACACTACCTACATTAAGTATTACATACCAGTCATTTTTTTTAACGACATATATTAAAGAAAAATACTTTTTTTGCGACCTTAAAAATGTAACTTTATATGTAGGGACCGTTCAAATGTAAAATAAAACGGATTTTCTGATTATGAAAATTAATTTTATACAAATATTGTATAATTACTGTTCTAATTATAAAAAAAATGTATATCTACATGTTCAAACGTCTGTAACCTAATTTTAACTATATATACTGCAAGTGAAATAAGTCAAAATCTGTAATTATTACAGAACAAGCGATGTAGTCACTCACTACAATCACTTTTGACGTTTGTAACAGTGATGCAGACAAGTCCCAAGGGCAAATTCGCAAAAATTAACACTGAAAGCAGAACCCCCATTGTGGTGTAATTATTATTATACATTACTGAGTAATGTACCGTTTGCATTACTGAGTAATGTACTGTTTGCATTACTGCCTGACAAGCAGACAGATTCTTTTGTTTTTCTCTTTTTAAAAAGACAACTCCCACACTAGGAATATATATTGTGTCGCTGGGGACTTTACAGACATTTATGAAACAGACACAAATAACACCCAGACTCAGAACAACAGCTTGTGGATCACACAAAGTGTTGTCCCATGTGGGGATGAGCCCACAACATTCAGCGCAGTAGGAAGCGGTGAGGTGACCGCTTAAACCACTACGCCATCCGTGCAGTCAGTTAGTTTTAAGTTTCTGAAAAGTGATATGTTTAGATAGTAGCGATATAGAACTTAGGTCTTCTCAATTCTTCACTACTATAAGAAGCTAGTTCTGTTTGCTAAGTGAAAATGTAATGAATCATCTGTATATAAGTTTGTACATACAACTATTTTATGCTATCGTAATATGTAAATTGTGTATGAGCAATTTGTGATTTTACCTATAAGTTGTTAATTTTTGTAAACGAAATTAAACATTTTAATATTTTATTGCATTGTTTTATTAAAAAAACCGACCAGGGTGGTCATGAATCAACCAGTAATTTTCATCTCTTCAACATCTATTTTCACGTTTAGGAAAAGTGCTGTATATTTTTTTCTTTTGGCACAAATATATTATAGAATAAGATCATTGTTATACTCGTATCATCATCATCATCAACAGCCTTCTTTTAAGTATTATTTTTATAAATATCAGAACCACAAGCCTGACATTAAGGCGAATGGATAACCACCGCACCTTATATCTTATAAATAAAATAGCGGTAAGCGGTAGCCGTCGTTGGGTAATTTTATCCCTAGATATCCGAATGGCACGAACAAAGAAATGTTCATTCGAGAAGATAATATCTAGCCGACAAATTATCTACTCAACAATTCTACGAAAACAGATAACAATGGTTTTGACGTGACAACGCCTTATAATTCGATGGAGCCGGCTGCACGTTCGAAAAAACATGACTCATGCGGCGTTACTTCGCTCTGAGGCGTTCCATTTAAGGCTTGAAGTGCAAGCGAGAGCGCGGAACGAGCGACAAAGAGGCACAATCGGCCTCCGCCTTCGGCAGCATTTGACATCTGTCTCTCTCCTACTTGAGTGAGCGATGCGTCCGCGTGGACAGCTGCTATACAATTATACATTTACATGTTTTCGTAAAATGCAACCATTCCATCAGTATTTTCTTATGACGTTGTCACGTTCAACTATCGTCAGTAAACCGTCTTTACAGACAACCGACTTTTTTTTAGAATAAAGATTGACTATTGACCACAGCACTACGTAAGCGCATGTAGTGCTGGAAACCAAAATCAAACAACAAGGACGGCCATTGTCCTATGAAATATAGAATAGGGTTTTATTTGTTACGTATACGATCTGAAGGTCACCTTCTGTTGTTTTTCGGGGCTCTTAATTTACCGTTCGATTTTATCTGCTCGCACAGTCCCTAAGTAGATCAATAAAGAAAGCAGTTACACATAATAAAACATTTTATTTCAACTATTTATGACATAATTCTATTTGGTGCAAGTTACAACAACAATATATTTTCAAAATCAACAGTAACACTATGTGTTTATCTATATTATTATTGTTTAATAACAATATGTGGAAACAATGTGCTTAAATTATTAATATTATATATTAAGTACCTACTCGACTAATAATAGTTCTATTAATATAAAATAAAGTATTTTGTAAGTTAAATAAATATAGGTGATAGAGAAACATTACACTCATAAGTTTTTAATTCATTATGCATTATAATTCTAAGAAAACGGATTAAATTTGAGAAATAGCATAATTAACTTTTTTATTGTAGTAGCCTAATAAAATATTTGCCTTTTCTTTTATTAGTCTGGCAATACAGAAATTTACTAGTATACGATTAAGATTGGTAAGTAGGAAATTGGTAAGTAAGAAGTCTTCAAAACAAGTTTACTTCCGTAGTTCGTAAGAAAGTACCTAGCAACTGCCAACAAATGCTACATGAAAGTAATTATAAGCTTTCACATTACCAAGCGAATCTAGTTTTAGTAGAGCAACTCCTAATAGTATCTAACTATGGTAAAATTATTTGGTTTTATTCAATATACCTACAGATTTAATGAAACTTAGTTTTAGCACAAACAACATTCGATTAAAAGGCTACATGTTACATTATTTAATCGATTAGTTATTGCATTAACCAAAATGGCTCTAATCGAATGTCTAAAGCACAATTATATTTAAGAATGTTCGGTGCCGATAAGCATCTTTTATTATATATCATTTTACTTATGTTGTAAGTGATGTGCCGGATCGTTAACAAAGTATATCCGCGGATACGGATCCGAATACGGATATTTGGTGTCAAGATCCGCGGATACGGATCCTAAGTTTCTTACTCAATCGGAGCCCGTGACCTTGATACTTGTCGCCACTTGACGCTTTACCGTTGATATTTAAATATTTCATTATTTTAATAAGCTAATACAAAGATGTTTGATTGATCTCATTATAAAGATAGCTCTTTCAGTACCTACGACCTGCCTAGTTGATTTAGTATAGTACGATAAATGATTGCAATACAAAGGTGCCAAATATTTGTTTTAAGAAATAAAAAGTAATCTCAACAGAATTCAATAGTTTTTCATAGCTACCTAATAACCATTATTCAGGGTTATTTTAAATTTACTGAAAACTTCTGATGTGCATATTAGTAAAATTATAAACAACAACTTTTCTTCTGGACTAACACCGAAAACGAAAGAAAAAAAATTGTTTCTCCATACAAACTAACAAAATTTGATTGGTTATTTGAATGGAGAACCAATTTTTTTTCATTTTGACGTTGGCCAGAAAAAAGAGTTTTACAGTGAATACAAAATCACCTATATAGAATTTCATCTATTTAATATGTATTGAAAGATCCGCCAAAAAAGTCACGGATACGGATACGGTTACGGATCTCTCTTCTCCCTTGGATATCCGCGGATACGGATACGGATACGGATATCCGGCACATCACTAGTTGTAATACATATATCGATAAATAGAGTCGGCAATTATTAAGTTAAATATGTAGTTTTGTCTTCCTTACAAACATTTGTCATTTTACAGTAAAGTTCAAAATTGTAGTGCTCTAATATTGTAGTTGCGCGGGCAGACATTTTTGATGAATCAGTTTAGTGTAAATCGCACACTAGTCAATAATTTTAATTATCTGTCTTGGTATCTTAATTACCAACACAAAACAAACTCATGTACACTGATTCAACAAATAATAGCTTACACAACTAACCAACCATAAGCGATTTGATGGAATGTTGATTAAGTATAGTTTTTTTCGAGCTATTTTACACCTAATTAAGAAGTTTCGAATGTCGCTATTTGTTTATCTTCGAAGTGTGTGCCTCTGCTCATTGTCAGTTGTCAGAAAATTTATTTACCCGCGCTTTTTAAAATTTCTAAATTTTCTTTTGCTTTTTAAATTTTCCAGATTAAATTACTGAGTTAAAACTTTGTTAACTTATACACACATAGTAACACATTTACAAATATTAGACACATACAAACGCATATTTAAGAGTGTCCTATAGTACATAAAATACCTGAAATATTCAATGGCAGATCAGCAAAATTATCGATGACAAATAGCACACAGTAAATAATATATTAATATATTTAAATCTGCCTCACATTTTTATCATTTGGCCACATTTACATAAATTCTTACAGTATGGCTAACATATATTTTATGTGATTTGGTATAAGTTTGAATGACAATTTCAATTAGATAAAAAAAATAGTGAGTACGTAATGTCCTTGTAATATGGTTGACCGTTGACGTATTCAGTTTGGTAAAAATATTTATCTGTATATTAATTCATGTCATAATATAATCATTAATCAATGCTAATTTAACATTATTTAACCCTTGGAAAATCCAATAGGCATAAGATACCTGTTTTTGACAGTTTGCCCGATTGAGTCCGGTAAAATAATAATAAATTAACTAATTGCATGTCAAATCACTTGTCAAATAATACCTAGTCTAGGAGTCTAGGAGATACGAAAAACAACTTTAATATTTTGGCTCTAGACCTAGAGAGAAATAAAAGCGAGGGAAAATGCTTAATTTGTTGTAGTTCGTGAACGCGTTTTACCATAGAGCCAAAATGTGTCACAATTATGTGGGATATACATAATCCTGACACACTTGGGATCTTAACATTGCACTAACTCTTATTTTTTTTCATTCTGTTGAAGTCCAGTGGAGGACTTGAGTACCTTTTTTTAAAATAATTAATAGGTTCTTTAGTGAATGAAATAAAGTAGATTATCAGGTTTGTTGTAAATCAATAGTTATTTGGCTGCTGTAGCTGAAAATTATTACTTAATCCACAAACCTCAAGCGAAACGAAATACCTAGAGTACCTAATTGTAATGTTCTTCCATCGACAATGGAGGTTTACCCGACAAAGGGACATATTGTTGATGTTTAGATGTTTTATGTTTTTCAGCAAACAAAGTTCACGTCTCACCTCTCTTGATGTTATTACCGTTCGTCATACTATATATTTTTACCCGATCAAACATATCGCAAAACGAAAACAATAGCAGCAAGTCCAATTACTGTTAAACCACTGAATCTGGCCGCTCCATTACAGAATTTCAGATCACAAGTATTGGCAAGTTCTTCAAACCGGTGTTTGACAAGGGACCAGTCGCAGAGTCCGACCCTGCATCCTTCGAAGTGCATGGGACGTTCGTTCTCAAGGAATAGAACTTGGTATGGCTCCCTCACTTGGAAATTACCGTTTTGCGTGCACCTGAAGAAGATAAATAGATGTTTTATGTATAATTTAAAAATTTCGAAACGAAATTCCTTATCGCGCGTTACACGCTTTGAGCGGATGGGAGCGAGACCAAAAAATGTGTAACAAGACTTTTTGCAGACACTTAGACCACTGCTGGACATAGGCCTCTCTTTAGAAAGTACGTCTACACCATATATAAAATAAAAGTAGATAAAAAAGAACTATGTACTTACTTGTATAAAACTGCTGCTATGTTCGCATTAAAGGGCATCATAGTCGAAGTAGTCCACTTCCTGACCTGCACATTGGCCGAGTGGTAGTTGTCACCGGTGAGTGGTATGATGTCCTTATGGGCTCCCATCGCAGTCATGGTGAGAAGTAACATAACTGCTGAACTGAAGCTAATGAGGACGCGGGGCTGTTGTGGCGTGTCGGCTGTTAGAAAAATAAATAGAGAAAAGTTTTTTTTTATACACTATTATTTCTTGTGTCCGTAATTCGAAATTTGAATTTAAAAATTTGAAGATAGAAAAGAAAATTAATTTTAAATTGTTTTAGTTCACTTGTTATAAGCCTTGTGTTGATAAAGCCCCATTTGAAAAACTAACGACGTTTGTGAACGCATAAACAATCAAACTAAACATATTTCAGCGCAGTTCTGGAGTCGGTAAATTCTTAAAAGCCCTTTTGACATCAACCTTGTACATATGCTAATATATTTATACAGGCTTCGCTCGCGTAAATGTCAATTTTGTCAATAAATTTGAACGGGAAAAATAGTGGCCTTTGTGCTGTTCTAGAATATAATCTATCTATATGCCAATCTCGTCCCGATCCGGCAAGTCGTTTTGGCGTTATCGAGCAACAAGCATACTTACGGTTTAAAAAGTTAAAAAAATATGTGTTTAATTTTTATTTTTCATAAAAAATAATAATTGTACTGAGAATTTGGAATCCATAAGTTAAAAAAAAATATAATTCTCCATACTAACTTGCATAGCTTTTCAAGGTTAGTTCTAAAATTAGTAATAACGTTTTTATTACTTTTAATAAAGAGTTTGTACTGTGAGTTTGAAAACGCTACTACCAAAATTAACCAAGTTTCATGTAAATTTCCAACCCCCATTTCGCACCCTTTGGGTTGACATTTTCACAAATCCTTTTTTAGTCCCAGCGGTTTCACCTGTGTGCTGATCGACCAGTTAGTGAATCAGTCATAGATTAAAAATTGCATTAGGTACAGGCAAAATAAGTATGAATCATATTATGAAATTAAGTAGTGTAAATTAACAAAAAGTGGAAACAACAACATTAGTAAATTAAAATGTTTACTACAATAAATAAATCCTTTCGCGTCAACGTTAAAAATAGCATCGTGTTGATGGTCGGTGACGTAACAAAACAATTCACTCTTGTCATCTAGCGTGTTTATGGAAAATATCATTAATATAGCCTTCGTTCACTATGATGATATAAATTAACGTTAATTAAGGATGTGCAAAATTTACGGTCGAATGAGGGAATAATTAGAGCTAGGTCATTAAGTACCTTCAAACAGCATCACTAGTGTTTATTAGAAGCTTGAAAAATATTATTAGTTACAGTAACATTTTGTTTTGTTTAAAATTTAATCCTTTTTGTACATTTTTGTGAGTTCTGGTATTTACGCATTACTCCCTACTCACATTTCTAACAAATGCCGGGCCCCTTCGTCTACGTCTGTCAAAAGGTTCTTTTTTTTCCTTTTGCAAATTTTTTCCTTGATGCTTGGCTCCTCTTGTCTACGTGTTAATTCAGGTTGTCAGCTACCTCCATACCAAATTTAACCAAAATTGATCCAGTCGTTTGAGCGTAAAGATGTAACAAACATACAAACACACACACTCGCAAACTTACGCCTTTATATGATTATTGTGATACCTATTGTATATTCTTAGATAGGAAAGTATAACTTACCGTCGTTAACATGTTTCGTGAGGAAGGTCATCATATCCTTGACCGTCGCGCATCCGATGTCCTTGTTGAGAGCCGATCCGTAGCCGTACTTGTAGTAAGTTTCTAGGTCTTCAGCGTATTCCAGGCGTTTCAAATCTTCGCGGGTGAACGCCTGGGAATCAGAAAATATTGTAACTTTTACACATACTGTAGTTTTAGTGCAAAAGTTTAGTTCAAAAGAAAATTATATTTATAGAATTAAAATTCATAGAACACACTAATGCAATTCGTATTCGAACTAATTTATTCGGTTTCGATAAGATCTATTCTGTCATAACCTCATCAAATCAAAGTAAAATTCAAATAAAAATTCTATTAAAATCGTTAACAACTCTTAGAACAGACCACTATTTATTTTAATAAATAGGTAGGTACACGTCCTATGATTATTCGTAAAATAATTTTTTAACAGTTAATTTAATCAGGTCAAAAAAAATATTTAAATGGTTCTACCAACAATAATACCTACCGTTGAACATGCCTGTGATGATTTAGGATCAAAGGCAAAGTGTGATTAAACTGTAGTCTAATCATAAACAAAAATTATCAATAAAATAAACATGTCCCATGCGCACTTGACCACGTCTTATTTAAGAACTTACAGCGCACCACGGCGAAATGGCTGTGACGTCCCACGCCTTGTTGTAGCGACACATTTGGTATAGCCGCAGTATCGTGTCCTTCTGCATGTCATAGTTGAACCCGAGGCGTAACGAGATGTTACTGATCATCTGTTAGGAGAAAACCGAGATTGGAAAATATAACTTAGTTAAATGCTAGGGTAACTTAAAGTGAAAAGGGTTAAACACATTCTTGTTAATATTGTAAGTGCCAAAATGAGCATAACAGTAGCAGCTTCAAGTCAAGTCTTGCTATTTATTATATTTCTTAGCAGACATGGTCCTGTTCATATTAATTAGATTCACGACATTTTAGCCAATTCCTGAAACTCCTGTCCTCTGTCGAAGTTCTATGACCATCTGTATTCGACCATCTTTCGAAGGTTGGATCAATTCATTACGTAATATTCTTGTTGCCGTGTGATATCCGTAATTAGCAAGGTAATTATAACTACTGTAGTAATTAAAGCCTTTGTTCATTCACACAAGAGTATACAATGAATCATTCATTGACATGTACTGAGCAGGTCGTCAGGCAGTCTAGATTCAAACTAAATTACAACTTCAGCATCAAAAAAATTAAAATGTTAATTTGGGTAGACCTACAAAACGTCAACTGTGATGTACGGTCATCAACAGCCTTTAATAGTCCACTGCTGGACATATGCCTCTCCTTAGAAAGGAGGTTTGATGTACCGTAAATGATGAAAATTTTAGAAGCGTTTAGAAGAATAGTATAATTTTTTTTGGATGGAAATTACGTCTTAATCGATACAATCTGTTCTAAAATTGTGTTCCTATTCATTAACAGACCAGAACAGTCCACTGCTGGACATACCTAGACCTTTCCTTATAAAGGTTTTGGCCTACTATACCACGCTGGCCAGACGGGTCAAGATTGCCTTCTCTTTGCTGTTATCCTGCGTAGTTTGCTCTTACGACACCCACGGTATGAATAGGGGTGGTGACACTCCGTATTTTTGATTCGTCACCACACGGATCGGTTCCTATTAGGATAGTCCAAATTATATCAGCACTATGCACCCATCGGACTGGCTATTACAGAAAAATATTACAAGCAACAGTGGAGCGGGAGAAAGCTTCTTTGAAAAAAAAATGGTAGAAAAGATGGATTTGTAATTACTAAGTTGGTCTTAAATCTAGAAGAAGGAATAATATTAGACTTGATATTTTTAGAACTCACCTCTTTGTATTCCTGTTTAGATTCGAAGATGGATAATTGGGCAATTGTGATGTTGTTCTCTTCAACATCCTTCGTCCAGACAGGGCAAGACTTGTATGGCTAGAATAATTAAAAATATGGCCAAATCTTAGATGTTACTGTTAGTTCTTGTCAAATCGGAGTATCATACAACTAAAAAATGAAAAACAAATGGATTTACAGTTGCAGGTTTGATTAAAAGAATTAATTTTTACTACGTTTAACGCCATATTCAATTATTAACATTAATAATATAACAGTTAATAACAGTCTAGCACTTATTGCCAAAAAATATTAACCGCAACAATGGCAACAACATTTCATATTTTTTTCCCGTCAATCCATATACATTTAGCTATTTTTCAATAGTCCTTGTATATATACTTTAGTTAGCAATTTACCCTGAGGATCTTCTCATCATTCTCCTTAGATATGTCGACGCTTTCAGCTTGGTCCCCAAATAAACCTTCAGTAAACGCTTTGTAGGTGTTGCTTGAACGTCTGTCGTTTACAAACTTGAACTGTAAACATAAAAAAAATACGACACAGCGTTAAAATAGGTCTATTTCCTTATATCTTTTAATAGTTGTAATAAGTACAGTTATAAGAATAGATACTTATTCAATCTTTAATAAATTTTACAGAGTTTACATTATTTATTCTCTTGTCCGGGTTCAAAGAGGTTTTCTTTCTAGAGTACATCTGAGGCCTCGGCAAATTACCTGATGACGGATCACCGTGTGGTTTTAGTCGATTCGAGCTCGACGGCGAGTGGTATTATCTTACCATTTGCCCCGGCCCCGACGACGAGACAACCCGTGGCGTTTCAAAATAAAAAGAAGAGCTTTGAATTTGAAGAGAGAGTGGAGAATTTGGGAAAACTATTTATAAATTATACAATTGTTTGTGAACGAACCCACGACTCTCGGCAGGGCTTTGTGGCACGATGACCTATGTTTTTAGTGTTTATATAATCCATCTTCCATAATTTATATTATAAATGTTATAGTGAGTTTGTTTGTTTGTAACGCTTCGCCCCTAAACCACTAAATCGCTTTTAAACATTCTTTAACCAATGGAAAGCTACATTACCAGCGAGTAACAAAGGCTACTTTTTACCGCGATAACAGACATAGATACAATAGCTAGTGTTAAATATTTACTGAACAGTTCTTTTAAAATAAATTTTCAATTATTTATGTGCTAATACTCGGCAATATTTCGTTGGTTAAAAGCAAACATCTCACCAAGTAGTCGTGTTGGTTTGTTGTCAAAAGACCTGGAAACTTCTGTTTCCACGCTTGAGCCAGTTGCTGTGTGGTCATGTAACCATCTGTAGTGAGATCTCCTGCGAAGGTTGAATTGATCCGATCGTTCCATTGCCAACGTTGTAAAAGATTCAAGTCTGAACTACATATGCGTTGCTGGAACAGAAATGACAAATTTAATATCTTATTTTTAAGATTCTTGGAAAAATTCTGGACTCGTCTATGGACGTTAGTTCTCGTAATAATAATTTGACACAACTTCCAGATGGCCGTCTGATCCCACAGGGGGGATGGAATAAAATCACAATCATCCGTGATAAATCTTATTATTAATAATTCATACAATCACACCTGTTACTAATTTAAAAAACCACTGCGACTTGTTATTGACATTACGCTGGCGCCATTATCAACCTTTTGCCCTCCACTGCTGAACGAAGACCAGACTCGCGAAAGGTCTAAATATAAAAAAGGTTGTAATCTTTGATAAAAATACTTTTGATTGATTTTGATGACATATTTGTCTAAATCTAGGACCAAATCACAATCAGAGGTGAAATCGCAGTGACCAAACCAATAATCACATCATATAATTTAAAAGTGGCAATAATGTCTCCGTAGAGCCTGTACTATGGTAACTAGATTGCTGATATACAAACACATATATATATATATATATATTTTCTAAATTATTTCTAAATATTTTTTATATTATCCGCTCTAGGCGGGAATCGAACTCACGCCCTCTGGCTTAGCAGTCAGGATCACTTACCACTAACCTAACAGCGGGTTTAAAGCATTATTCTATTTAGCATTAGGTATCTAGGTAAATATTTACGTACTTAATTTATGCTACCTATACTAAAATACAAATAGCTCGGTTTATTTTCGTAGTTATATCATCATTACTAATTAAAAAGTCATTATGATAATACAAGTCCTGCCACAGTCTACTTAATGGTTACTTCGTTTCCTAATACAATTAAATTGTGACGTCATATCCATCGCTATCTAACGAAAATAACTAGAATTACTTCGCAACTACGAAACTGCATCGTGCTATAAAAGTTCTCACGCAGTTTATGATGTGAATAAATATGTAATATCACCGAAGGATTCTTTTTTAACAATGATACTTTTATTTATCTTCAGACATTTTTAAAATTATTGAGTAATGTACTCTGATTCCAAACTAGGCGGAGCTTGATAAACCTACGTACTTAAGTATTTCTAAATACACATGTAAATATTACAGATAAATTACTATTTGTCCTGGGTAGGAATCGAACCCACGTCCGATAGTTAAGCAGTCAGGATCACTTAACAGGCTAGCCAAATAAGCCAAGTAGATAAAGTAGGTTTTAGAGACGTCTTTTCTAACATTGCGTTACATGTACATTGTATGTGTGTATGTACGAGTACATTATGTCTGTGATTGCAAGATAACTTACATTGGTATTCCTGAAATTGCCATTATTGTAATTGGTAAGTATATTGTTTTTTAGGTCTCCAAGTCTTTGGAGCTCGTTGATTTCGTCAGCTTCAGGGTTGTGGGAGCCATGGCGACTGAGCAAGAATAAGGCGATGGGCTGACAACCTGTCAACAAAATTGAAATCAAAATTTTAATTACAAAATATGCATGATATGTAAGAAGTGGGTTTAATGTCGGTAGTGCATCGAGTGGGCAATTCTAACGCTTTAGCCACTACGATAGCGCCAGGTGATTGATGCCAAAACAGTACATATGTACTTATATATAAAATATATCCCCTAAAAGCCATTATACTTCAAATGTCGATATCACAAATTGGGCTGGATCTTATGCACCATGTGCACGAGTTCGTAAAATGTTAGTATTCCAAGAAACGAAGTAATATCCTAGGAATGGGAATTTGCAATTGTTACGAATATATAAACAGCTTAGATTTTTTATAACATAATTTAAACTATCCGATGCAACAATGTTACGATCAGAGGGTCAATTCACGTAATAAAAATTGGTTTAAAATTCAGCTCTCTTCTACTCGCGATCTCACAAATGCCATTAAAGGTATTTTGAATATCCAACGTCAACCGTGATGTAATTATATCGTATTGTTACCGAAAGTTGAATCGGTATTCTATAGTATTAGTAATACAAGCTGGCTTATATGTTCAGAGTCACCACGGCTACTGCCAGTGCCAATTGATTAGATTTAACTTCAATTGATCCCATGACAATGACTGTCAACATACTACGTATGGCGGAACTTTACAAACAACAATTAAATAACCATTTCAATTATAAAATGGCTTTTTTATGTTAGAGGAGCAGACGAGCAGAGCGGAGAACTTTCCATCAGGTGGGTCACCGCCCATGAACATCTGCAACTGAGGAGTCACAAACGCGTTGCCGGCCTTTTAGGAAGGAGTACACTCTTTTCTTGAAGGTTTGAAGGTCGAAAAGCGAACAGTAGTGGAGGGCCAACTATCGGTGATGAGGATCGGTGTAACTATAGGTGATGAGGATGAAAATTTTGGATTGGATTGGAAAATTGTGGCTGGTATTAGTCCGAACAATTCTTCGGAGCACCCTCCATGGTATATGCGACAGAAAATACAGAGTGAAGCCACATCTCTACGTAACGCCAAGGGATCAAGGTGCCCCTGCATAGAGATGAGAACAGTATTCCATATGCGGCCGGACTCGCGCCTTATAGAGCTGAAGGCGGTGGGCCGGAGTGAAATACTGCCTCGATCTGTTCAGCACAATCACATAATTATTTAACTCGAAACTCTCACAACAGCATTTGGCTTTTAAAGACAGTTCAGTTTTCTTTAATGGTGCTCGATTCTATTTTATAAACTCACATGTTACAGTGACAAATTCATTATTATTCACAACGGAAGTAATAAAAATATGATTCATATTTTCTCCCTATCATATTACACCATTTGGCCCTATTACCTGTACTAATTTCCATAAAACGTGATAAATAGAAGCAGCACGATGCGGTGACCCCATAAATAAGTCGGATCGACTTACCGATAATTTGTCAATCTGAACGAGTCACGTTATACGATTATTAGTCACAATTATTTGTAATATGACCCCACTTTGCTAATTGGCCGAAACTGACATGCTCAGGAAATATATTTAACATTGTGATGACCTGTTGGTGTAATGGTGATAGTAACCGTGACTGTTGAGACAGATGTCGTGGGGTCGATTCCCAGTGGAGTCGATAAGCAGAATCATTAACTGTGTATTTTTATCTAAAATATGCATGTATTTGTTTAGTGATATATAGCCTGGGTATGTGTATTAACAGTTTAGCAGGCTCTGTCCAGTTTAGGCTTGTCCGTGTGGAGATATAATAAATTCATTTATTTTCTCACCACATTTGCAGAATAAATTAGGGTTTTACATGCCACTAGATGTCTGTGGGAGACTAGTGCCTAAACTAGGCGTTAACCTGTATTTCAGGTCACCAGGCCTCCATTCCAGGTTTAGTTTCTATGATATGATATATGTCAAGTTATTGTTGACGGGCCTGTTGGTCTGTGTTTAGCGACCCTGATTGCTAGCCGGAGGTCGTGGGTTCGATTGCAATCCAGAACAAATAATTGTGTGATGAGCACGATGATTTGTTCTGTGTCTGGGTGTAATTTATCTATATTATGTATGTATTTAGAAATATATAAGTATGTTTATTAGCAGCCTCATTACCATAGTACAGGTTCTGCCTGGTTTGAAATCAGACGGCCGTGTGTGAGATGTGTGAAGTTATTTATTTTATTATTTTAAAGACAACTCCCGCATTAGGAATATATTCCTGTGTCGCGGGGGACTTTACAAACATACATGAAACGGACACAAAGAACACCCAGACTCAGAACAACAATTTGTGAATCACACAAAGTGTCGTTCCATATGGGGTTTGAACCCACAACTTAAACCACTACGCCATCCGTGCACAACTAATTATTACACAACAACGTTATAAATAATTCATTTTCTTGCTTCCTTTGTTTAAATCTTAAATCTTTCTTAGTTTAATTATGGTAAGTTCTCCATATTCTTAGTACAGTGTAATGTATACCCACTCTGATATGGAAGTAACCAGACTCATAGGTGTGCCTTCAAAGTAATGTGGTAAAAGCTCACATACCTATAAATTATAAAGCACCTACATTTACAAAAACATTACTCAACATTATGTGATTGATCGAAAAGCTTTCGCAAATGTCTCTTTGCATCTGGGATATCATTACTCTTTTTACAGGCCGTGTACCTGTCTGTCAATATATACCTCCGCTTGTAGCTCGGCGGGAAAAAACATTGTTAGCATTGCATAGCAGTTAACTAGATGTCGACCACAGATTGAAATTCGATCGTAATGCAATTATTGATAACAAAAAATAAACCCCGCTCTAAAGTTAAGGAAAAAAAACTGTTGCCAATCTTGTTTTAATTTCTTTTTATAAAGACAATTCCCGCGCTGTTACCTGTAATATACTTATCCTGTATCACAGGCGATTTTACAAACATATATGAAAAGGCGACGGTGGTGACGGATTAAAAATACTTAATTAGGGTTACGGGGCGAATAGGGGTGGCGACACCACTCCTATTCATCCCGTTGGTGTTGACTAACTACGCAGGACAACAGCACTGCAACGAGAACGAAAACTTGAAGCAAACTTTATACTAACCGGTCTAGCCATGTCCATGGCGTGGTATAGTTGGCTAAAACTTCTTTTCCAAGGAGAGGCCTATGTCCAGCAATGAACTATTAAATCTGTTGATGATAATGATATGAAAAGGACACGAAGAACACCCAGACTAACAACAACAATTTATGGATCACACAGAGTTTATTCCAGAAAAAGTGGAGTTATTTACAGAAACCAAAAATCCCCGTAGTTGGGGGGGGGGGGGAGGGGTCAAATGGCTGCAACTTACTTCTGACTCTTAATTAAGTTGCAGGAGTCTATGGACGGCGGTAGTCACTTACCATCAGGTGACCTGCCTGCCCTCTAAGAAAAAACTAAGAATGTCCAAACACCTGCAACTATTTTCATTTTGTCTTTTTCATAATATAGAAGTATACAAATTACAACACCTGAAATTTCAAAATGCCAATGCCATGACAGAGGCAAAGTCAATATCTTAAGTACAGCTATTTTTTCATAATTTTTTTTTATCCAACTGTGTTTAAATATATTAATTTCCAGCCATGTGGCTAATCACTTATTAAACTTTAACCTCTATTTACAAATAAACCTCTTAAATTGGACACTTGTTATTTATTAAGGCGCAGTTACCTACTTATGTTTTTAGTGCTCTAGATGCAATTGCATTGCATAACCCAACAATCTTTGTTTGGTAACTTTGTCCATTACTACATTCGCACCTGTTGCATGAATACTGCTATCACTACTGCTCTCTATAACTAGATACCTTGATGTGAAACAACTTGCTAACAAATCTCAGATTTGGGGTTATCAAATCATCATCATCAACAACCTTTATTGGGCCACTGCTGGACATAGGCCTCTTCTTAGAAAGGAGGTTTTGGCCTACTATACCACGCTGGCCAGACGGGTTGGTATAGGGTTTATTTCAAGTTTTTCTTCTGTTTGCAGTGCTATTGTCCTGTGTAGTTTCATCCCTTAGTCGGCTCTTACGACACCCGCTGCATGAATAGGGGTGGTGACACTCCGTTGTCTGTATCTGTCACCACACGAAGAATCAAATGAAATGATTTGGTTATCAAATGCAAAAATATAATTTCAAATATCAATGATTAAAGATATTAAAACAAAATAATAAACTATTCTTGTACTATGAATGTAGATAATGCACTATTTTAACTAGAAGCTACTTTGTCTCTGTATGCGCGCGAAGTCTGTTGGTGATCTTCTGATATTTTTGACTTGCTATACCACTACTCTGTACGGATCTATGTACAGAGCCTAGTCGATTTCGTAATTTTCATCATCATCATTTCAGTCACAAAAGGCCACTGCTGCCAATGACTTAAAAAAAGACCGGTTGGAAGTAAGAGTTATCTAAAAGCCACATTAGTGTCTACTATTTCGGGGTTACACGTAATACATATTATGTAAGTAGGTATACATAATACAAAATAGACAAAATGTTTAGGTGTGACGATAACTCTAGACTCAATGGCCGGATATGTATGCTATATTATCTATAATAGTCTGTGGCACAACGAACGCTTCGCTTTATCTATTATTACCTATCCGGTTTTACGAGGTATTAATTTTCAGAGACCCATCATTCGTTGCCTAACGAAGGTATACAGCGTTGTTGGATCAGCTCCAATCGTAAGGTACCTACACATAAATTTCATGTAGGTCATCGCGTCATGGACATAAATAACGAAAAAGACTGTACAAAACTGTTACAATATCAAATAATAAAATTTCGGCCTTCTGTTTGCCAGCAACGAGTATCCCTTTAACCGTTATAATTTATACGTTCTTAGTAGACAGCGGTTTTCAAAATTTAAGGTTTATTATCGTTAGAAAATATAAAACGATGGAATAACAAGATGGAGTATTATTTCTTTTGTCTTGAGTAGTAATAA